TCGATGAGAAGGTCGATCGTCAGCTAACAAGTGATTTATTCTTGGCTTGTGAACATTTTTGGAGTGTCCTCGTAAATGTTCTGTTTTGAAAGACAAGAAAAATGAGTACATATCAGATGTAAATTTACCACCAAGTAGTATAAAATCTGTGACCAAGTCGCCTCTGGTTCTTCGACAGAACAATGGAAATTAGTTTAGTTTGACTAGTCAAGCATCATACGGGAGCTTCGATATTCGAGGAATCGGCTTAGTTGCGGTCCACTGTCTCTCTTTAGGCAATGTCTAACCGCTTGTATACAATAATCGAGTTTAGGACGCATAAATACTGTATACAATGTTATAAAAACTTTTGTATCAACATGGTAAAGAGCCTTACGTATTGACTATGCGGTCCCGGAACCCTCGGCGTCTATTGCACAGCAGTGTACAGTAGTATACAAGTCTTGGCTAACGGTGACACATAACTAATTGTGTCTTGACAACAGATAGCTCACTGTTATTTACCGTGTATCTGTAACTTGTTAACCAATATGCATTACAATGCACTTCGAAGCATCTATCGAGAACTGCCAAATTCTAGATCATTCAAACAATTTCTCCAGGTCGTTTTGAAGCTCCAATCTATAATCCCTATTTTTTCATCGCTCTATATTTTAGCATCGTCAGCACATAACAAAACCGATGTTGATAGGAAGTTAAGAAGGTCATATACACACAAGAGTTGAGGTGCTGCAAATATTCAGAGTTTGACAACGCTTTAACCAGTAATACCTTTTACAATCGAAGTGCGCCAACCCAGTTAAATCAGAAGTCAGAAGCAAAGAGGCTCAAATATATGTTTGACAGAATATCGATATCCTGACTAATCTAAGCTGACCAGCGATTGTAGGAGGAGTGTACTCACACGTGATCTCGTGCGGATGCGTGGGCGAGTGCTTTCGTTTAGTTAAGTCTTTTAAAACTAATCCAGTCAGCATCAAATATAGAAGACTTACGGAGCTATTGATTTTAGGGATTTATTTGCCGTTACAAGTGTGATTTTACATACTGTCTAGTTAAACATACAACCAGAATGAGTACTTGTAGTGGAACGTTATCTTATCAACATTATGAAGACAGTATTGCCACAAAACTGTACCCTTAGGCATTCCGCTAAACACGGTCTCCCAGCTACACAACTTCGAGTTCATCCGTACTTATTTTTAGCACCCAACTAGGAAGCAATTTATCCACATTATTAAACTGCTTCAAATACCGATGTTACTTAACCTGTAGAACAGCCGGTTTTATGATTCTTTGTCAAAGGCTGTGCTGAAGACACAGTAGGCTACATATACAGGCAACCTTTTGTCTTTAAGAGCGTACCAGATGGACTACTAATAAGCTTGTGAGTCAGAAGTGACCTGTTTTCCTTCTCTTAGTCCTTCGATATGTGTAAGATTATCAGCGTTCATTATATTATATAGCTTCCCTAACATGTATTTGTTGTATGAGCGTCTACGCTTGTACAGGATTTATGCACAAATATTAATTGATTATCATACAGCAGAAGTTCCTGCAGTATTGCAACAATTCGATGATTTTACCTCGTCAAATTTATAGTATATAACGGTCGAGGTAACTCAGGCAAGAATCATTATGTATTAGATGATTTAGTACTATGTTTGTGATTCCTAATTAATTTCACACAGATTGGTCTTATGTTATATCACCCACATTGTTTCGTAGCCAAAATTATGTATATTTATGCCTCGTTTGGCGAGGCACTATAAGAAATCATGAATTACGTAGACAGACAATGTTAACCTAGGTCCTTATCAGATACTTCGCCGTATTATCGTACTGAACATATCGATTAACTCTAAATAATAGGTCTTCTGTATCAACCGTTTACAAAATCGCTGCGTTATGTGCACCCTCGAGAATTTAATGACATTGGCTTTCACCATTTTAACTAACGTTTTCTATCCCCTTTGCATTAACTTTCATCTCACTCCGTTACCTTTGAATCGATTTCAGTACTACATATGTGTTTATTTATAAACAAAGTGGGTTTACGGTTATATAAATGGCCTCTATAATTGTCTGTAAATCTAACCATAGTCTCCATATACGCTTATTTTACACGTCCTAATGTAAAAATTATAATTCGCGAGCAGATGTTCGACACAAATGTCAGAATATATAACAAGGATGTCATTTTGCCGTGTCATTTCAACGTACATCCAAACTAGTTTTATTCTTTAATGTTGATGTCGTACGCAGTGTACTTTACCCAAAATAAGATTTGCAGCTCAGAACGTTCAACTTGGCAATAGGTAACTAGCCACTTTCGTGTCAAGCTTCTCAATCTAACCACTTAATATATCATAAAATGCTTATTTAATATGCTTATGATAAAGTGAGATCCGTGAATTGTTTGAGGTATTTGAGACAGCACTGCCACTTTAAATGTGATGACTTGATAATCAGTGAATATTATTGATAAAATCGAAGAAACTATTAACACAAACTGGGTCGCTAGATTGGCCGATAACTATTATTAAACAGTATTTCTTTACCATAGTTATCTCTACATAATATAGATATGTGTGTGTAATTTTATCTCACGCAACTTTAGTAAACAGCTTGGAACCTCGTTTTTCCAATCAGGGGTTTTAAGACACAGTCATTCTTGTAAATTATCAGTATAGGCAGTCAATTAGATGTCCTGTAAACTGAAAACATCATTGCCAAGCTCATGCTAACACCGACGATGCTCATATCATTATCATAAACGTGAGTTGTACTACTCTTGGTCATAATCTACGCTCTCCCTGATAGTGACATGGGCACTTATTATTTGTCATTTTTTAAAGACCCATTTGTTTGAAAATGCACAAACTCACATATATTTATGCATGATTATAATTATTTAATTTAAAGGACATCAAAACATTGAGTCTAGAGAATGTCTAACGCGGATGCAGTCATTTATAAAGAACTAATGTAAGTCCATTGTTCAAGATGCATGCAATTATTAGTATTTAAATGTATTAAACTAGGTTTTGGTGAAAACGCATATGTGTTAATAGCATCACCAAACACTATCATAGTTAGGCTATAACGATGTTGAAAAAATCTTCCTGTAACTAGGTACACAGTATTAAACTTATTTAACTAACCGGGACATTAGCTGAAATTCTTCCTCTCCGCAGCTATTTTTCCGTTCCTTCAGAAAGCCTACAAATCTAAATGCAATTACAGATCGACAGGTAAGAGTAACATATCAACATAAACAATAACTGGCTTTCTGATTTCAATAAAATATATTCCTATTACCAACACTACTACGATGCGGTTTGTTTTTCTTTATAATTATTAATAATATAAGTACCATACACTTTTACTGTTCATACGTCAGACCGTTAATCACCGGTTATTCTGACGTTTTGGTGTAATTTACCGAAATATCTCTGCTCAACAATTCTGCACTATCATGATTACTGTTTTCTCAACTCTCAAATGATGTACGTGTGTTGAGAATGAAACCAAGCATCATGAAATTTCTACATGTATTTTCCAACTATTTACTGCCGCTTTCTCTTTTATTTATCTTCAAGTTTATTAGCATCCGGAGGATTTTTAATCATTTTATTGATAACCACCAGCGCGTTATAACCCCACATGTTTTGGCATCGGACAGACATCCCGTTTAGTCTAATGGTAGAGCAGTGTAGTGGTACTGACTGTTAACCACACGATCTTTGAGACCAAATACACGATAACTGCGAAGATTTACATCCAACGTTTTAAACGTGGCGAGGATCAAAGAAATGCCGAACGTGGAAAGGCTTCATCAGTTGAACATGCCCCAACTGTGCGGTCGTGGTCATTCAATGTAACTTCATTCCTTCCTATAAATATAATAAGCTATCTCCGTCCCAATATCCAAAAACTTTGCACCAACCGATCGCGTCCATAAACTGACAGGTATTCGATATCAACGTCTGTATTATTAGCTGTTGTTATCATAACAATCTAATGGATATTGTGTAGCGAAGGACCGTGGTGACTGAGTGTGTGATATATTAAGTTTAAATCTTAAGCGGAAGGACGTCTGATTGATAATTATTTTATGAGACTTTAATTATGCCTTGGAGTCCATCAAATATAGACGGTTATAGTAGGCAAGTTACGGATGTACTAAATATTCATAACTTTAGCCAGACTGGAGGCAGGGTTTTTTAAATAATCATTAAGCACAATGAAAAGATTCGCTATTTTTATGGCAGCTCCGTGTTCGACAACAGACTTGGAAGTGTTTGGATTTGTCGACGACAATGCCGCCGTTTCAAATGAAATTTAAAATCAAGATGTTGATACTATCCCTGTAGATACCTTCATTAGAAAGTAGACATCCAGACCAAACTTACGTAAAATCGTAAAAGTCTCTGTTTGCCCGAAAATATGAAATGGCTTCTGGAACGTGTCACAAACACTGTCATTGAATACATGAATGAACAAACGCAGTGTGTGATACACACAATTTACGCAAATGCGAAAATCATTCGTATAACCGAATGAGTCGAATTTAGCGTAATAATGAAATTTGTAAATCAAGTGGTTCTCATCCCCAAAAGGCATAAAATGGGGTAAACGGAAGCAATGAACACAAATTTATAACACGAAATCTACTTTCGGTTTCAACACTTTAAAAAATTGTCTAAGTAGCAAAGAAGCAGTATAGTAGAAATAGACATTATTAGCAAGGGAAAAGTAAAAAAAAAGGAATGGAAAAAGCAGCTCGTCCTTTTTTACTGAAGGGTATAGATATTTTGAAAGTTAATGGAATTATTCATGATCAAAGAGATGAGAATTTCTGAATTTTCACATTAACCATGACTGGAGTGTTTTCAACTAGGACCACATCATTTGATAGGTTTCTTCAATTTCATCACAATGATATCGGATATCGGTGTAAGCGTTATATTCAAAAAGTACCGTTACAGGCGTTGCGTACGTGTTGTGTATAAACTCTCATGTATGTTGCTTTATGTGATTGGCATACTCCTGAATAGATGTCATAACACGACACCTATTACTTTGACTGGCAATTGAAGATCTGGTCATTTATCACTTTGATTTCTTTCTAATCTACCTTAGCTATGTGTTAGTTAATCACTACTATCAGTTCCAGCTACCAAAATATTAGCTATCGTTTAACTTTCTTCCAACCAGCTTGTTTGAATTATCCTGAACTCTCAATCAATCAATAAACTCAAAGAAATTGACTGTTAGTCTTCATTTTTCCGTTACTGTAGGTGAATCTACCCCAAAACGTTCATTTGTATGGTTTAGGAGGTTTACTAACCCTCATTAAAATAGTTTTGTTGAAAACTCAGTACACAAGTCTGTATTTGCCAGCTAAGTTGCATTGAATTACGATTAGTCACTGAAGTACGATGCGTCTACGCATTATTCACGGGGCAGATTACTTGTTAGTTAGTCACTGAAACTAATATTGTTATCTATGCTTGATGTTTACATCGTCCTATAAGGGATGTGGATTCTCGGCTAATAAACATGATATTCTTGCTGACCCAGCCTTTCTGTATTCAAATCGACCCAGCCATTCAGTAAGTCAGTAACAACGTAGAACTTCGTACGTACGCACATCAGTTCGAGTTGCCACACCACATTAGCACAGAGATGCAGTTGTCGATTCAAATCCCGTAGTGGTAGAGGTAATAAGATTATAAGCAGTAATCGGAAAGATTAGTGTTTGGAGATGTTACTTCAAGAGTATAATACAGTGAAATGAAATTGGGAAGAGAAAAAAAGAGACAAGGGAGGGTCAGGAGATCAAAATTTGCGAGAACACAAAGAGTGGATGCACCTGCGCCATTGCAAACGATTTTGAGCCACGTCATTCAAGGTCTCTAACCATCGGTTGTTATCATCTCGCGGTCCCCAACCAGGTAGTCTACACCTACCGACATGACTCAGTTCACTTGTCAGCGACTTCATGGACTTGTGCCATATTTTGGTCTGGCCGCCCTTAGCTTTTTTCCAACCTACTCCTATACCATGAAACATCACACGTCGAGGAAGTCAGTGGTTGGGCATACGTAACACGTGTCTCAGCCATCTCAGCTGATCAACTTTCACTACTTCATCAATTGATTTGCCATCCTTACCTAGTACCCATTTCCTAACAACTGCATTACTTACTCGATGGTCCCAGGATATACGAGCAATGTTTCGAAGACACCTATAATCAAATACTAGTAGTCTACGAATATCCTCTACTCTTACCGGCCATGTTTCACTGCCATAAAGTAGGACGGAACGAACTGCTGCACAGTAAACGCGTCCTTTGGTTGGTAGACGGATATCTCGCCTATGCCACAAACGAGGCAAATTGACAAAAGCTAGTCGAGCCTTCTGTATCCGTGCTGAGATTTCGTCACACACCAGACCACAAGGGCTGATGAGACTTCCAAGATAAGTGAAGTGGTCGACACACTCAACTACTTCTCTCCCTATCATTAGTTCGGGTGTCGATGCAACCCAATCCTGAAGCAACATTTTGCATTTCGAGGGAGAAAATCGCATCCCGAACATGCTTGCATTGTTGCTTATAGTGGTGAAATTGCTGAGGTACACTAATTATAGTACTTAACTTAAGTAGTGAAAAGAAAAAGGTGATTATTTATCAGTTTCAAATCACTTACTGTTTCTGTATGGCGTGCTATGTAGTCACCTTTTGATAAGCCTGTGTGGAAGCCAAGAATCCTGACCGTTTAGGTGTAGTGGGACAACTCGCTTCCTCCAATTATGGCCCAAATAATGTGATTATTCTCGATAGGAAAAATAAAGTTAATGCTGTGCGAGATAGGGTCATTTCTGGCAAGTCTCAGAAAAATAATTTTGGGTGACAATGTCATATTTTAATGAACATTTAGGTTCACTAATATATATTTAGTAGTAGGCTAATAAAAATAATTTTATGCATGGTACTGATCACATATATTACATCCAAGATCGTTTCAAGCTAGTGCTTTTGAAAGGCCATCAGATATTACCTTGACGCCTACAGAAACTAACTGGCAACATATTCTACATACTACTATGATCCTTTGAACATACAATCTATCAACTGGTCAAATTGTTAATAATTTGTTACAGATTTTACATTTTCCGGGGTAAAGCTCAAACGAATCAATTCGGGGTCCATAAAAAGTCTTTACCTAAAATACTGAACTCCATCAATACATAAATAATAAAAAAGGATTCAGTTGTGCCTGAAGGTCGTTTACAACCGTAATAAATTTTCTGCAGAGAATATCATCAACAGTCTGCCTGTTTAAACAAGTGTTGGCAATGACGCAGTGTATTTCGTTTAATGAAAGCAGCGTTTTCAGCTTTTTGTCTAAAAAATGGGCTTTCGATTTCAGCTCGAAGTATGTATATGTATATATATTGACAAATAATTTCATATTCAGAACACGTAATGTTGCTCCAAACCAAATCAATACTCCCGAACTGAAGCACCCTCCAGGATATGTTGATCGTTCTTTCCCAGCCACTGCCGTCCGTGACTCGGACCCACATCTGATGCGTCAGCGAAGTTGGAACATTGCATTGGGACCGTTCCGGCAAGTTCCAATGAATCTGTTCATCATGTGGATTTCAGGCAGTTCAATATCGATATTTCCCCTGATGTCTGTAATTATGTTATTTTTACGCCCATTACAAGCTCTTTTGTCTGCACAAGCTAGTAAGGTTTCCATCACAGTTTCTTAATTATATTTTTGATACAATCTTAGTGGTTGATTTGATGAGTAGCAGAGAAAGAACTTGTGATACCGTTTGTTTTATAAAATTTCGAACCGTAGCGATGCGTATCTTCCTTTACTTGAAGATACGATCAATAGAATAACTATGATCATGTCTAGTCCCTAAAAATACCACCTTAGACCATAGCAAGTGGAGCACTTGTATTTGAATGCATATTTTAACCATACTCTGAGTACGTAAGAAACGTTTTCAAGCCATATAATGTTCTTGTAGCTTAGTGGTCAACAAACTCGGATTTCATCCAATTGGTTACAAGTTCAAAACCCGTCCTACTCTATTATTTAACCAGTGATTATCATTACAGGTTATTTTATTAAACGGGATTTCCTAATTCTATTAACATATTCAGAGTGGTACATTGTGACGTAATTCACTTGGCAATTACAGGTTTGTGCATCACTAAAAAAACTTTAAATGGGCGTGATACTACCTTGTCGTTAACCTGTAATGAAACAGTATCCGAACTTGTAACCTACTGGCTGAAATTTGAGTGGTTTGACCAATAAACTGCTCCATCAACAGAACCTTTTTATCTATGGATGTAAATATATGAAAGAAAAATATCCTCAATAATTTCTCATCAGCCTCTACAGTTATACATTAAAATCAATGTTTTGAAAAAATGATTAAATTTAAGGTAAATACATCGTTGTAGCAAATTAATTTGAGATTGTAGTAAAATAAAATAACATTATTTACGTAGAAATGACTAGCGTGTGATGTTGACGTGAGTCGGTTTAACGGAATTCACCCTTCTACATGATCCCCATTCTTTGTCTCCATTCAAATCTTGAGATTCTAAATTCTCCATAATTATTTTCCGCCTCTGTTTCATGAATTTATATTTCCTCGAATCGTACCCTCGGTGCCTAATCTTTCCTATTACCACTGATACTGTTACTGCCTATGTTATTCTGGGACTTGATCTGACATTAGTATCTCTCTGTGCTGATGGGCTATGGGAACTGATGTACATACGTACCAGGTTCTACGTTGTAACTGAATGACCTTTTGTAAATTGATATACAGAAAAGAAAGTGAAGACAGAATACTTTTTTTAGATGTTCTACCTACGAAGACAGCTGATTGATCAATTGGAAGGAATATAAACAAGAAAAGTTCTTGGATAACGCCCCCAAATGCCCTGGTATGGCCGAGAGTGGGGTGGGCCTGCTCTTTCTCTCGAAATGCTCTCACACGGCCACGCGTATACAGCCTCTGTCAGGGAAGTCCTACTCACTGCCTTCTCGTGGCGAGGGTGTTGTTTACGAAGTTGAGAGGACGAAAAGCCAATGTCCGGCGCTTTAACCGGATTTCAAACCATTGGTGCACGTGGGCTCCAGTATCCTGCAGGAACAAATGGCGTATGAACCAATCGTTGGTCACCGGCTACCATGGGACTGCATCTCCTCACGATGCTCCACTGCCTTGTGGATCAGACCTTTAGGTTAAAGGGTCTGGGTGTGGTCCCCTAAGAAAACCAACTGTTTCTGTCTGGGCACCCGGGCAGAAGAAGAAAGAAATCCAAACTGTGAGCGGAAATTCGGTGTTTACTCACTTTCTATTTGGAGGTAAAACCTGTCATCACTTTTTGCACATCAATTCAACTGCTGTAAAGACAGATGCATCATTAGATATTTTAGGGTTTCGCTTTTTCCTACTCTCAAATACCTATCAACATGGGAGGTATATAATACGATCAAAGATTCTCATAACTTTCTCGACCGTTATTGCTACCTTGACTTGCTGGTCGGGCTTAACTATCGTGATGAAGCAACCGAGCTATACTGGCTGGAACAACCGTTGCTCAAGTTCCTACCATGTCAGACAGGTCGGTTGAAGAGCGGTAAGACTAAAGCAACAAACCCAAGGTCCGAAGGCGAAGTTGTACTGCTGACTGTACAGAGATATGGCAACAATAAGGTGTTTCCTTCAGACAACCAGCATGACAGCGATGCTGCTTTCCCACAACGAGGGCTGGGGTTAGGAAAGGTCGACCCTAAAAATGCACACCTCGTCATCCTACGGATATCCGTCTCCGGCGGTAAGGTCTCAACAAATACGGAGCTAACACGAAAATAACCCATAAAAAGGTCGTGTATGACCGAACTCAAGCAATTGTCCTTTGGGCACTGCGGTCACGCTCCCAGGTCACTAAGACCACCTCTAATCCAATTTCCTTTACAGGTACCTCCAGAAGAACCCTGCCATGGTGTGGGCGACCGGGAAGTGATAACCGCCCTCATACCTCTAACAGCGCTCAAGACCACTGTATTCATAATCAATCTCCAGCTTCAATTCCTATTATTTCCCCTAAATCGACTTTCAACTCCAAATTTCCTCTTTTGTCTTCCCCCTCAAATGTCACCATAGCCGACGATTCTAGTGCTCAAGACACTGTCCCAGGTCTACTGAGACCTCGCTCCAAACTACACATTGGAGCCTTCAACGTACGCACCCTATGTCAAATCGGTCAACAGGTTTCCTTGGCTAGAACCCTAGGATCTCGTACCATTGATGTGTGCTGTGTCTCAGGAACACGCATACTGGATTTCAGTGTGGTCATTCACTTGACCTCACATCGGCAAAACGGAGAGCCAACTAGATACACCCTCCGTGTACCGAGTGACCCGATGGCCGGTTCTCGTGGACTGGCAGATGTAGGCGTATCACTAAGCATGAGGGCGGAACAAGTACTGTTAGAGTGGATCCCCGTCAACAGTCGTTTATGTGCTGTCCGGCTAAACGGCTCCGTAAGGACTCGGAAGGATAGGGACACACGTCGTTGCCTTTTCGTCGTTTCTGCCTACGCTTCCACTAACTGCAGCTCAGATGAAGTGAAAGATGAATTTTACAGAAAGCTCACTGAACTTCTTCAGAAAGCTAAACGTTCAGACATAGTGCACGTAGCAGGTGACTTTAATGCCCAGATAGGTAGTTTAAACCAAACAGAAGGGGATTTAGGTGGGTATTTTAGTATTCCGGCACAACGAACAGATAATGGTGATTGTCTGCTGCAACTGTGCTCAGACAATCGTTTATTTTTAGAAAACACTAATTTTAAGCATAAGGAGAGACATCGTCTAGCATGACGACCCCCTGCACCAAGCCAACGATGGACTCAAATAGACCATATTGCCATCAGTTATCGTTGGAGAGGGTCGGTAGAAGATTGTCGCTCATTCTGGAGTACCTGCTTAGACTTCGACCATGCCCTAATACGGGCACACATCTGCTTGCGCCTCACTGGACACAAAAAAGCCTCAGTAAAAAGACCCATTAGAACTGAGTTGAGTAGCGAGAAAACCGAAAGTAGGTTCCAGGAACAACTGAGTTCACACTTAGGTAGTTCTGGAAACGAGGTTGACCCAGATGTTGCTTGAAAAAGCTATACAAACAGCTGTGGAAACAGCATTGACATCTATCAGTGATTTAAATCACAAGGTTACAAAGAAACAAGGGTTTTCTTCAAGGCCTATTGCACTGATGAATTCTCCTAAACTCATCCCGTCAGGCTCTGAATACGATGAAGGGCGTAAAGAAATCAGATCTAGGTTAGGAAAAAGTCTAAGGAACGACCGTGAGCAGTGGTGGGCAACGAAAGCAAAAGAGATGGAAAAGGCGGCGGCTATAGGGAACACAAGACAGCTCTACAGAATAATAAAAAGAAACTGGAGTTAGTAAGTCAAGTGTAAGTCAGACTATTTCAGAAAAAGACGACACTCTCATCTACTCCCAGTTCAGACGTTTAGAACGATGGGCGGGACATTTCTGAGAACAGTTCAGCTACTGTAAAACTACCCTCCATTCCGAGACTGTGAATGGAACATTGAAGTAGGTCCCCAACTGTAGTGAAAGTTCAAAAGGCTATAGTTAATCTGAAACGAGGAAGGGCAGCTGGTCCAGATAGATTTGCTCCAGAGGTCTTTAAGGATGGTGTTCCAATTTTAGCGATTAAGTTGACTAATATTTTAGCTAAGATCTGGGACTTAGACGTTAATCCATCTGACTGGCCATAATCACTTATCGTCCCAATATATAAGAAGGGGTCTAAATCATCCTGTGACAACCATAGAGGTATTAGTTGAATAACATAGCATCTAAAATACTAGCCTCAATAATTATCAGTCGCCTAACTAAAACTCGTGAACTGCAAACACGAGAAAATCAAGCTGGCTTCAGACCAGGTCGTGGCTGCATCGACCACATATTCAACATTCGTCAGGTTCTAGAACACAGGCATACTTATCGGCGTCCGGCATGAGTGACGGCACAAGTACTGTTAGAGTGGATCCCCGTCAACAGTCGTTTATGTGCTGTCCGGCTAAACGGCTCCGTAAGGACTCGGAAGGATAGGGACACACGTCGTTGCCTTTTCGTCGTTTCTGCCTACGCTTCCACTAACTGCAGCTCAGATGAAGTGAAAGATGAATTTTACAGAAAGCTCACTGAACTTCTTCAGAAAGCTAAACGTTCAGACATAGTGCACGTAGCAGGTGACTTTAATGCCCAGATAGGTAGTTTAAACCAAACAGAAGGGGATTTAGGTGGGTATTTTAGTATTCCGGCACAACGAACAGATAATGGTGATTGTCTGCTGCAACTGTGCTCAGACAATCGTTTATTTTTAGAAAACACTAATTTTAAGCATAAGGAGAGACATCGTCTAGCATGACGACCCCCTGCACCAAGCCAACGATGGACTCAAATAGACCATATTGCCATCAGTTATCGTTGGAGAGGGTCGGTAGAAGATTGTCGCTCATTCTGGAGTACCTGCTTAGACTTCGACCATGCCCTAATACGGGCACACATCTGCTTGCGCCTCACTGGACACAAAAAAGCCTCAGTAAAAAGACCCATTAGAACTGAGTTGAGTAGCGAGAAAACCGAAAGTAGGTTCCAGGAACAACTGAGTTCACACTTAGGTAGTTCTGGAAACGAGGTTGACCCAGATGTTGCTTGAAAAGCTATACAAACAGCTGTAGAAACAGCAGTGACATCTATCAGTGATTTAAATCACAAGGTTACAAAGAACCAATGGTTTTCTTCAAGGTCTATTGCACTGATGGGTTCTCGTAAACTCACCCCATCAGGCTCTGAACATGATGAAGAGCGAAAACAAATCAGATCTAGGTTAGGAAAAAGTCTAAGGAACGACCGTGAGCAGTGGTGGGCAACGAAAGCAAAAGAGATGGAAAAGGCGGCGGCTATAGGGAACACAAGACAGCTCTACAGAATAATAAAAGAAACTGGAGTTAGTAAGTCAAGTGTAAGTCAGACTATTTCGGAAAAAGACGACACTCTCATCTACTCCCAGTTCAGACGTTTAGAACGATGGGCGGGACATTTCTGAGAACAGTTCAGCTACTGTAAAACTACCCTCCATTCCGAGACTGTGAATGGAACATTGAAGTAGGTCCCCAACTGTAGTGAAAGTTCAAAAGGCTATAGTTAATCTGAAACGAGGAAGGGCAGCTGGTCCAGATAGATTTGCTCCAGAGGTCTTTAAGGATGGTGTTCCAATTTTAGCGATTAAGTTGACTAATATTTTAGCTAAGATCTGGGACTTAGACGTTAATCCATCTGACTGGCCATAATCACTTATCGTCCCAATATATAAGAAGGGGTCAAAATCATCCTGTGACAACCATAGAGGGATTAGTTTGAATAACATAGCATCTAAAATACTAGCCTCAATAATTATCGGTCGCCTAACTAAAACTCGTGAACTGCAAACACGAGAAAATCAAGCTGGCTTCAGACCAGGTCGTGGCTGCATCGACCACATATTCAACATTCGTCAGGTTCTAGAACACAGGCATACTTATCGGCGTCCGACGATGGTGGTCTTTCTTGACTTAAAAGCAGCATTTGACTCGGTAGACCGTGAGATTCTGTGGTCGTGTCTGTCATTGAAAGGCGTACCTCAGAAGTACATAAACCTTGTGAAGGCTCTTTCCTCGAACACTACCAGTCGAGTCAGAGATTATGGCGAACTGTCCTCTAGTTTTGCAACCTCAAGTGGTGTCCGTCAAGGATGTCCATTTTCCCCATTTTTGTTTAACTTCATCATAGATCTACTGATAGAAATAACTTTCTCGTCGACTGAGTTCTCGGGTATTGATCTCCATCCAGGAGGTCCACTTATCGACTTAGAATACTCAGATGACATAGTCCTGTTTGGTGAAGACACTGATAAAATGCAGAGACTTCGATGACTGATGCTACATTTTGGTTTGACCGCTCCTTACTTCCTTCCAACCATCTCCAACACTAGTCAGCGTTGCACGTCGTGGTAATCGATGTTTAGGCATATGCAACACGTGGCCCAACCATCTCAGTCGATGTAAATTCACAATCTCATCAACTGATTCACCGTCATTCTCTGATACCGTGCGTCTAACCCCACTATTACTTACCCGGTGATCCCAGCAGATGCTGGCTATATTCTTAAGACATATATGATCAAACACTAGTAACTTACAAGTATCTTCTACTCTTGATGTCCACGTTTCACAGCCGTAAAGTAAAACAACGAGCAGCATACTCGTGCCTTAATTTATAGAGGGATATATCGTCTAAGCCGTAGGTGACGTAAGTTGGCAAATGCCAAATGAGCTTTTTGAATCCGTGTTGAGATTTCGTCCGACACCAACCCATTAGGGGTGATCAGACTTCCAAAATAAGTGAAGGTGTCAACGCGTTCGACCAGTCCTGAAGCAACAACTTGCATTTAGAGGGAGAGAAGCGCATTCCAAACATTCTGGCATTGTTGCTTAATGCTACCAAAAGACTCTGCATTTTATCAGCGTCTTCACCAAACAGGACTATATCATCTGCGTATTCTAAGTCGATGAGTGCACCTCGTAATAGGAGACTAATCCCCCAAAATTCAGTCGACGAGAAAGTTATTTGCGGCAGGAAGTTTATTGTGGGATTCAACAAAAAATCGATATAGTGGACACCCTTGCCGGATACCATTTGAAGGTGCAAAATCAGATAACAGTTCGCCATAATCTCTGACTAGACTGGTGGTGTTTGAGTGAAGAGCCCCTAGGTTTATCTACTCCTGAGGTACACTTTCAATGACAGACACTACCATAGAACCTCTCGATCTACAGAGTCAAATGCTGCCTTTAAATCAAGAAAGACCACCATTGTCGGACGCTGATAAGTATGCCTGTTTTCTAGAAGTTGACGAGTGGTTAATATGTGGTAAATGGAGTAGCAATGGGATCCCCTTGTTCCTAATTGTAACCAACTTGTTGGTTACATATAGAATCAAATATTTTCGAATTCGGTTCAGATATTCAACTGTACACGCATGCTTCACATAAATCACCTTGACTGGAATAATATTTCATTGTTCAGATATGTTTTTCATTTATCGCACCAAATATTCTTGCTTTGTACTTTTTGAACGGGTTAATGTGTTTATTTATTCTCTGAAGAAGTGGCTTGCACTAAGTCACGAAACGTCAGAAAATTTAGACTTGGTCTTTCTACTCATTCGGACATAACATATTTTTTCTTAATAATTAACCTCCCAGCATGATTTATCAAGGGGGTAGTTAAAGCAGTCAGTATTCCTATCCTGTGGCATTTAGTTCAAAAGTGTTACGCAGCTAGCACCACTCAATAGCTTATAGTAACTCACCATGTCGATGGCAATCCATCTAGATATATCAGAATCAGTCCTCCAAACGGTGGAAGCAACAGCTACTTGGGTTAAAAAAAAACTAAAACTTCGCGTCCGAAAGATGTCCAACCTTTTCCTACACCTTGATCAAAGCATACCCAACAAGTCAGTAATCGACTTAATTACAGATTCACCTTTATTGCTTAGTATATATGATAGTCTTTTAAACACATTATTTGATCAACACTCTACTATTTCTTATGCAACTCATCTAACTCTGTACATTACGCAATTTCCAACGAAACATTGGTATGAGATCATAAACCGTTTAATGTTAGACCACCATTGAAGACCTGGAAGCACTGAACGGCCGTTCCGTCCTATTGAGGGATTCCTCAGCAGTGCGTATTCACAATCCCGCTCGCGGGATTCGAACCCAGGTCCTTCAGTCTCGCGCGCGAACGCCTAACCTACTGAACCACTGAGCCGGCATCTAATGGTGTTAATGGTTCATGATCTCAATCAAAACTTAACAATCTTCACAACCCCTATACTGAAACATTTGTAATTATATCACTGTTTACATCACCCAATGTTATCTAAGTTCATTCTGATTGTTGACCTCATAATTTCACTTGACCTATAAACTGATTCAAGTTGACATCACACGCTAGTCATTTCTTCTTAAACAAAGTTATTTTATTTTACTAAGTTATTTTACTAACAATTTCAAATTAATGTGCTACAACGATGTATTTACCTTAAATTTAATCATTTCTTCAGAACATTGATTTTAATGTATAACTGTAGAGGCTGATGATTTGTTGGAAAAAGTACTTTTCATCCATGTTTCTCTGTTTGCAGTTTGACTAAAATTTGTAAATGGTACGTAAATATGTATATAACTAAGTTCTAAGTGCACAAATAAAGCTGAAATAATTGAAATTTTTGCCGAGGTGGATATTATTGAGTTACTAAACCTAAAATGGTTTTATTACAGAGCTTGCATTTTTGTTCCGTACCAGCTGCTACTTGATGGATTCCAATGTTGATACTGTCCGGTACAAAAACTAAGGCTCCGCAATATATATTACTCTACGCAAAAAATATAAGCGCTCATATAAAATAGTCTGTGAACTTCCTTAGTGGATATCTTCAGAAAGTGAGCTTTACAATTTCCTGTTCGTATTGTCTGTATCTTGAAACAATAAGAGCAAAATATCAATGACATTTTAGAGTGACTGGTTATTGCATGCTTTTGTTTCATCGCGACTTCGTCTCGTATAGGTTCCATTCATTTGTGGGCAATTTCCCCTTAGGCATTTACATTTGACCACTTGCAATATTGAAAAGAAGGCGGATTAATTGTAATTGTGAAGGCCTATAAGTAGCTTGTATTTGTTGATAATCAGACATTGAAATGTAAGTCACTTACATCTTCGTTATGTGAGGAAACTGGTTAAAATACCATTAAGCAATTCAGAGTTTTACCTACAATTGGTGATATCAACTACCTTTTATTTACAAACGCTCATACTAGGGTTCTGATGGTCTCAAAATGACCCTATTAACAACCTAGAATCTGGTATGTATGTTCAGGGATATAAATATATAGTCTCTACATGCAACACTTCGACTAATTGGATGGAGATAAAATATATCAGCAGGTTTTCAGTACTGTGAAATATGCAATTATACTCGTGATAGATCAGTCATTCATTAATGTTTACTCATTAACTTTAAGGTTAAATTTTAATAATATAATTTCCGAAGACAACTGTTTCATCCAATTAAGATCAGATTTTGATTTAAAATTTACGAAGACCATAACACCCTGATTTTTCATTATGCTAAACAGATTTCCATCCATTGGGGTAAATTTGGAAGTAGTTTTGAAGTGATAACTTCCATCCAGGAAGGCAGTCAATTAACTTAGGTCTACTGGATGTATGTTTATACTTACTAAGGTTTATCAGCAGTTGTAAACCTGAGTTATTCGAGATTTTCTTGATTTTTTCTGTTTAGCATTTAACCTTATAGAGGGAAGTCAAGCTACAATACAATGCTTTGTGTATGTACTTGGAAACCTAGTTATACTAGCACTAGCCATGTACAAGTGCCACACTATGGGTTTACTACCGACTTACGCATCTGATTGGCTTTCATTTATAGAACCACGTCAAGTAAGTAAATAGTATCTACTGTGAGTACGTACTTTGTTCAGAGATTAATAAAATTATACTCAATTCATTTATGTAAACTCAAACAAATGCTGAGGTGAAGAGTGGTAGGTTAGTGCTTTGAGCTTTAAACTAACAAGCTTAGTAGGCTTACTAGCTCTCATTAAAATAGTTTTGTTGAAAACCCAGTACACAAATCTGTATTTGCCAGCTAAGTTGCATTGAATTACGATTAGTCACTGAAGTACGATGCGATTCATGGGGCAGATTACGTGTTAGTTAGTTACTGAAACTAATATTGTTATCTATGCTTGATGTTTACATCGTCCTAAAAGGGATGTAGATTTTCGGCTAATAAACATGATATTCTTGCTCACCCAGCCATTAAGGCTGTGTGTATATTTTCAGCTTTCTGGCTTGTGGAAATTACTATTGAAAATTTGACTGTAGAAATGGTATCGAAGTAAAGAAATTTCTCGCAGTTATGTTCCGCGAGCTGCTTTTGTGTAGGACAATATTTACTGTGAGGATTGATGTAACATGAAAAAAAAACATAATGTTAACGGATTGTTATACAAGTCTCCACAATACTCATCCAAGGTTTTCTATGACGTCACATATTAAAGCGTTTGACCAGCAAGAGGTTGATCGCTGAAAGAAATTAGGAAGTTAATATGACTAAATACTTAAACAAGTGCTAGTGTGGCATTTATATGCTTATTTGCCCATACTACAATATTCTAATCTTTTTAATGTATTTGAAGGAATAGACTTGTGAAATTCTACTGAAGTAATTATGTATTTAGCTCAAAAGTATACAATTTTTGTTGGGTGTACATACATACGCATTGTAGGCCTATTGCTTTGTTCATACATGTTAAAGTACATTTGTAGTGTATAATTAATAAGAGTTTTTTTCTTTAATAGGCAGCTGAGTGGTCGGTTGGAGGTTTTGTCGTCTGAATATGGGACGAAACACTTTATAAGCTTTCTAATCGTAATTCGAAAAATAAAATGTTCAGTTTATAACGATTATTTTTGTTTGACAAGAATCAGAGATTAAACGAAGCGTCTTTTATGGAATTGTATTAAATTAGCCATTAGAATAGTCGATGAAGCTTCAATAAGTATATTAAATGGTTAGTTTTAAAACGGACTCATACAGAAGATGTGTCATTGATTCAAAATATTACCACGTACAGAGCAAATACATCCGTAATGTCCATCAAAGTGAGTTCATGAGTTCAGAAGCCCAATCACGCAAAGCTTGAACGCCATCATTCGAAAATGATTGTAAGAGCTGACGAATTGAATCCTTGCAAAGGTTCATGAAACCTTAAAACCAAAAAACGGTGAAATATTCGCTTAAAGAACTATTGTTGAGCCAGTTATTTGTTTTGGAAAGATAAATAAATATATGTCTAACTTTAAGATACGGGTAAGAAATTTGATTTACCTAGTTATGGTGTGTTTAATGTCAAAAAGTATTAGTATTCATTTGAAAAATACCCTCATAACAATTTTCCTACTCAATAAATTCATTACATATATATGCACCACAAATTTTATGCCAAACCAAACGTGGTTGCAGCGTAATGCATCTGTTATTAAAGCAATGTAAATTAGTGAATTTTCTAGGATGTGAGACTTTCAGTCTTTAGGTTCCACATTTGAACTACGCTTTATCTATTTCGAGCGGAAGCATTGGCCCTCAGACTTGTGACTAGTACTTAAATACCCAATAAATGAATTAGTCACTTATTAATATTACTTCCAGGAAATTGCCAACCATAACCTTAAAATGTTTTATTTGTCCTAAAAAGACAATGGAAACCTAACAGACCATTTACTATAATAATGTTAAATCAAAAGTCTTGAAACATGGTTTAAATGCTCATGATCGAGAAACTCAGAATAACCGTCAAAAAGATTGCTTACTTGGATGTCTTAGAATTCCTGCGACCGTCCTCAGAGCATGTTCTCTGAGTAACTGGGATTTTTGGTTTTCAGCTGATTTTTTTAGTTTGCCAATGAACTCTTTTAATCCTAACTCTGAGAAACACCTTGAAGCTGATTTGCCGGCACAATCAACTATATGTGCACTTTGTTCTGGACTCAGCCTATTATTAAATTATAAAGTTCATAAAAAGGATAATTGTTTAATTGCATTTTGAAAATAGATTGTAATGGTTTTGTAAACAATAAAAATGCTTACTTCGCAAGTATTGTTAATGCACTTGCCAAGCAAGAGATTTGAACATGTTTCCCAGTCTGGGTCATAACATTGTTCAACAGGATTATTGTTTCAGCAAAACGATGCACTGAAATGATATACAATTAAAAAGGAGAAATTGAATAAATTGTTAGTTGAAATAACAAGGAAAATTGGGATGACTTACCCTGTAGAAACACTTCATGATTTAATGAAAGTTATAGCTGATGTGAGAAAAACCTAGGAAATTTAAAAAGTATGAATAGTATCACATATTGGATCGCCCCCAGAATGAAAGTGCTATAATCTGCTAATCCATTTGGATCTTACCGCGAGAGTTCGAATCCCATCCCCGTCGCCACTTGTTATATCTACCGCAAACAACTTGAGCACTCGAACGCTTGAACCCTCCAAATCGCAAATAAGGAGACTGGAGAAAGTGTTTGTTGGGCAAGAATCAAAATGTACGGAAAATCATAGGTATATATAGATATTAGCGTTTGTTAAATCAATATTATGATTCAACCAATATCCACAGAGGCATGTTATGCTATTGACCAGTAGTAGCATGCCAAGTTGATATTCTAGAAACCCCGATTGCGTTCTGATTGGATGAAACTCCTCAGCTCTGTCGTAGTTCTCGAGAGCCGTCCCAACAGAAAGACCATCAGAAGGATTCGTTAAGACGTAAGAATAAGATTTCAATGTTAAAATACTTAAGCTTATTATTATTATTATTATTAATGGCTTTATTCAATATTATATATATACTATAAAATAAATTTAAAATTTCTCAAATTACAAAGTATGACTGGGTAGAATCACATTTAAAAATAAGATCAACAACCCCTTGTTACAAGACTAATATTGATCTATTTGTGGTAATACACAATGAGAACCTGAATTTCGAAATTTCATAAATATACCGAGCAAATTATCCCTTTTTTGACGTCGTTGACAAGAAAATCCCAAACTACGCGTGATAAGAATGTGTTGTTACTTTGATCATACAAAGATAAGGGAAAAGTGAAAGCTTCTCAGTTTGGATAAATCATTTCATACTCGTTATTAAGCGTGAGTTCCCACTCATTAATTCATTAGCAAAGTGGGTATCTGACAAAACAGAACGTTTTATTTCCACTATATACATACTTAGTGACTTACAATGTTCTTTCGTAGCGTTAAGCGGCCATATAATCCCGACAGCTCTGACAGCCTGTTCGAGTTCGAACTCATTGAGTTTGGTGTTAAGTTTCAAATTCTTTAAAAAAAAAGAAAGTTATTGTGTTAATTTCAATAATGAAGATGCCCAACAATATGCCTGATTATTAGAGTAAATAAAGACTAAATACACGTACACTACGTACAGGTATCGGGACATCTATCCATATGAGACTTCTAACAAAAAAACTGGCAAAATCGATCTACAATATGTCTATTTTTCGATTGATGAGATAGTTCAAAGTACCTAGGTCATAGGCCCTTAAGAAATGAAAACTGGAAAATACTGATTATTATAATCACAATACAAAGTTTAATGATTTTATCTCAGTCCCCCTTGAATGTCAATGAGTAATGAACGTACGTAGGCTGTGTAAGTAAGACAATGAAACCGGATAAACAGCACTTGTTAAGTAATCTCACAAGGACGTTGAAACTTTAAAGGAATACACCTCAACAATGATCAATACATGTGTGGCAAACTAATCAGTGCAAAATGGTTAAATATAAAGCTGAAAGTTATTCATAAAAGATTATGTTGAAGCTGAATAGGTTTAAAATCCGTAACGAACTTCTAAATTTTTATTTTGTGTAGGATTTTTCCCACGTTTTAACCACTGTGGAATAATCAGCACAAATAACTTGGTGAGACGATCGACAAATTCACTATGCGATTCCGTTGAAGGATTTTCTTCGGGATTGCCATCAACAGTTGAGTAGGGACGATTATCGGCGATCGCATCAATACCGCATGCTTCAGCGAACGATGCAAGTGTCAGGAAAGCTTCAGCCTGGTAACCACTTTTGATACCTTCAGCTCGTCTTGATTGAGTTTCGCGCAAAAGAGCGCACCACATCTAAAATTCAAAAAATGGTATATTTAAGAAAATAGATCGAGGATAAAAAGAAGGATTCAAGGCGAGTTGTATAGACTGTTTTTTCTAAGAAACGACACGTATTTCATTATGAAGAACTAACCGTCTGTTGCCAGCAAGCGATTGCAACAGTTTTTGTTGTTTTTAAAATGCAATCAACATATTTCTTTTATGGATTATCAATACTCAGGTCATTTTGTTTGCACCGTTTAGTATATATTTTACATGCACTTGGAACTAATTACAAATATAGTGCTTTGGTTATAATCTTGCTCCTTTCGATTTCACACGTTTTATGGATCAATCAAATTACACAAATATGTTAAAAACCATCTTAGGTTAAAACGAAGATTTTCTACTGCTAAAGAACGCAGATTTTGATAGCAAAAAGAACATTTAACAGACATGATTTTCTCTTGCTAAACTTTGATCATCTAGGTGATATAGTTCAACAAAGTGTTTAGTCGATTAGCACACTTAACCGATAAAATACAGTCTACACTGACCTGCGTAACGAAGATATACGAAATTATACATACAACCAGAATATAAATTGCCAGACTACTAGTAAGTAGCTTGCTACCCTTGATCATTACATACACTAATGTACACAACATAAAACAAAATATGCTGAGGTTGATAACCATTGTAATAACGGTTTGATAGCATTTTTTCAATCTTGTTGAGCATCATGAAATGTATTTGAGCAAGATTTTGATTAAGGAATAAAATAAGTCTTGAAATAAAAGAAAATAACTAATTCGTCTACAGATTTTAAATTCTGAAATAAAATTCCTGTGAGGTTTCTAATAATCAAACAGTAAAGACCATTTAACTTACTTGATGAATAACGTCTTGATTCGCTGGTTCTTCGATAATGTTCTGTTGCTCTAGAGCAAATTCGCCTAATAATCTTGCCGCTCGGAGCAGGTAAACCTACAGAAATTAGATACACATTTTGTTCAAAAATGAATTCCACCGAAATTCGAAAGAAATATTCAACAAATAAGCAGTTACAGATTTGTACAAAAAAAAAATCAAAATTATAAAGCCAGCATAGTAATAAACAGGTAAAAGCACAGTTCAGCTTTAGTTGCTAAAGGCAGTTAAGTAAACAAATTTTCTTTACGGAGATGTCATTAACTTAAGCTGTACAATCACACAATGGTTCAATAAATATATTAGTATATACAAAAATAGGGAAGTATTACCTCATATAATATTTGGAGATTTTAAGAAACACTAGATAGTAGAACGGTCTAAACGTTCTTGAAAAATAGTACTTAATTATTCACTTACGCCTATTACTCCTAGTGGAGCATAGGCCGCCAACCAGCATTCTCCAACCTGTATCTTCTGGATGATGACTTTCGTAATTCTCCACGTTTCCGACCCATACAGTAGAATAATCTTAACATTTGTATTGAAAATTCTAACTTAGGTGTTAGTTGATGATTGCTTTTTGGGTTCAGGTGTTCTTCAGTTGTAGATATGATGCTCTTGCTTTGCCGATCCGCGCATTCACATCCACATCAGATCCACTGTGTTCATCAATGATGCTGCTCAGATATGTAAGCGTTTTTACATCTTCCAAATCTTCTCCGTCAAGTGTGATTCGAATGGTGCATGCTGTGTTGAATCGGAGAATCTTGCTTTCTCCCTTGTGAATGTTGAGACCTACTGCTACTGAGGTTTCCTTCAGATGTTGACGTCTTCATGATCCAGTCGATCACCAGGAGAAAGAGAAAGGGTGAGAACAAACAAACTTACCTGACACCGGTCTTCAGTTCGAATGACTTTGTCAACTGTCCTCCATGCACGATTTCGCAGTGTAATCTATCATATGAACTCTGTATGATATTGAATATCTTCTGAGGCACGCCGCAATGTCGAAGCTTCCATAGTGTTGTCGTGTCCACGCTATCAAATGTTTTCTCGTAGTCAATGAAGTTGATGTAGAGTGATGAATTTCATTCAATTGATTGTTCTACAATGATCCATAGAGTTGCGATTTGGTCTGTACACGATCTATCCTGCTTTGCCACTCTTGATTTGTCTGATGGCCATGCTGATTCCTTCGATTGTTGGTGGGCCAACAACGATTGGGAGGTCCATGGGTGCTGCTTCGATGTTGGGTGTGTTCAGTGGGGCTGGTCGATTCAAGAGTTTTTTTAAGTGTTCTACCGACCGGTTACACTGTCCTTCAATGTTGGTGATTACTTTGCCTTCCTTGCTTTTTACTGGTCGTTCTGGTTTACGATAATTTTTAAAGAGCTTCTTTGTTGTATCATACAATTGTCTCATGATTCTTTCTCTTGCAGCCTTTTCCAACGTCATTGCTAGATCTCATACATATTTACGTTCGTCGTACTGATGCTCCTCTTCACTTGCTTGTTTGTTTCTTTAAATTTGGCTAGTACCTTGTCTTCCTCTGCTGTTGTTAGGCTAATATTGATTGTGTATCAACAGCGATCTATTGCTTGTGGTGGTGCTTCATGGGGCCCAGAACCTCATGATATGTTGAAGTAATTGCCTCCTCTATCCCTTTCCAGTCGCTCTCCAGAGTAGTTCCTTCTCCATTGAATAGATCATGAAAGCCCTGGAACTTGTTGCTGAGGACTATCTTGAATTTGTTGAGTTTGTTAGTATCCTGAAGAAAGGCCGTATTGAACTTTCGTGATATTTCCCGCCCCATTGTCCAGTGCTTCTTGAGTTTCAATTTCATCTTGGCGACCAGCAAGTGATGATATGTTGCTCTATCAGGTCTTCTCTTGGTTCTCACATCTTCCATCATCCTCCTGAACTTTTTGTTGATGCATATATGGTCGATTTGGTTTTTTGTGGTGTGATCCGGTGAAGTCCATGTGGTTTTGTGAATGCGTTTATGTGGGAATATGGTGCCGCCTATGACCAGTTTATTGAAGGCACATAGGTTTGCAAATCTCTCACCTTTTTCGTTTCTTTCTCCCAGTCCATGTCGTCCCATGATGTCTTCATATCCAGTGTTGTCCTTTCCAACCTTGGCGTTGAAATCTCCCATCAGAATGGTCAGGTCCTTTGTTTGGCACTTCTCGACGATTGACTGTGGCCTATTGTAGAATTGATCTTTAGCGTCTTCATTGTAATCGTTGGTAGGCGCATAGCATTGGATAATATTCATTGTAATGCCCTCTTTTTTTGTTTTGAACGAGGCTCTGATGATCCTTGGTCCATGAGATTCCCATCCTATAAGCGCATTTTGCGCTTGTTTGGACAGCATCAATGCAACTCCTTGTGTATGTGGGGCATTTTCTTCTTCATGGCCGGAGTATAACAGAAGCTCTCCTAAAGTTAGTCGTTGTTGTCCAACTTGCGTCCAATGTGTTCCACTGATCCCAAGTACCTCTAGGTTGTATCTTCTCATTTCTGCAGCAATTTGGAAGGCTCTCCCGGTGTCCCACATTGTACGAACATTCCATGTACCTAAATAAATGGTCGCTCTGGTTGTCAGAAGGGACATCGGCCTCGTAACTTCCGAAGGAATTCGGCTTTCATCATGAGGCGTCATAGTTCTTCTAAATGAAGACCTTCTGACTCCCAGGGCAGAGGTTAAAAGGTTTGAATAATTTTTCCTGGTTAGTGTTTTTTTAGCGAGTTAGTTTTCTACGGGATGGGGACGCTAACCCCATGCCCAACCCTCCTCCTTTATCCGGGCTTGGGACCGGCAGCAGTCCCCGGAGGGACTCCAGGCGGAGTTGAATGTGGCGGAGGTGGGATTCGAACCCACGCCCTGTTACGCCATTTTCATGGCGTCAAGCAATAGCAACCAATGCTCATCTAAACTTTTCGGTGGAGTGGTAGCTAGCCTAGAAGCTAGCTCGGTTCGATACCTACTTGCAACAGAAGTTGCAACCAGCTTGCTAATATCAATCCGTTGGTGGCGGTCACTTCGTTGTCCACCGAAAAGTAAGGCAAGATTGGCGCAGACCAATGCATGGTCAGAGTCCAGATAGGTACTCCAAAAGGAGCAGCAGTCTTGTACACAACCACCCCAGCAGTAGCTGATCGCGATGTGATCAATCTGAGTCCAGGCTTGGGATGCAGAGGGAGGACGCCAGGTGGCACATCGGCGATCACTGTGCCGAAAGTTAGTGCTAGCCAGAAACAGGTTGTGGTCTGTGCACAGTTGCAGTCGACGGTCCCCGTTATCTGTCCTGCGACCAACGAGTCCTCATCGGCCACCTAAACGACTCTCTTCTGTGCCTAGACGCTCGACTTGAGCATTTAAGTCTCCGGCTAGTACTACAATATCTGTCGAACGCACTTTCTGGTAAGGCTCATCCTTGATTGCATCCGGGCTGCAATCTGTCGGGGCGGAGATGACGAAAAGACATCGTTTCTCACGCCGATTTCTTCTCACTTTGATGAAATTCTCTAATCTAACAGCACATAACCGACTGTTATTTGGGATCCAATCGACTAGTGCTGCCTCAGCTCTAGCGCTTAGTGCGACACCAAAGCCAGCAAGACCAGACGAAGATGCCACAGGGTCCCCGGATAAGCGCACGTAAAGCGAGCTTTTCGAAGAGACAGATGAAGAGCGAAATTGTAGTACTTCACCAGAGTCTTGAATACGGGTCTCGGATAGACAACAAACATCAATATGACAACTTTCCAAAGACATAGCCAGCCCTATTTGTTGTCCGACCTGCACTAGTGTGCGAACGTTGACTGGTCATAATCACTTATCGTCCCAATATATAAGAAAGGATCAAAATCATCTTGTGACAACCACAGAGGGATTAGTTTAACAAATATAGTATCTAAAATACTAGCCTCAATAATAATCAGATGCCTAACTAAGACTCGTGAACTGCAAACACGAGAAAACCAAGCTGGCTTCAGACCTAGTCGTGGCTGCATTGACCACATATTTACCATTCGTCAGGTTCTAGAACACAGTGAAGTGGTCGAACGCATCGACAACTTCACTTATCTAGGAAGTCTAATCAGCCCAAATGGGCTGGTATCGGACGAAATCTCAACACGAATTCGATGACATAGTCCTGTTTGGTGAAGACGCTGACAAAATGCAGAGTCTTCTGGTAGCACTGAGCAACAATGCCAGGATGTTTGGAATGCGCTTCTCTCCCTCTAAATGCAAGTTGTTGCTTCAGGACTGGTCTGCGTTAACACCTGAACTAAGGATAGGGAGTGAAATAGTCGTACGCGTTGACAACTTTACTTATCTTAAAAGTCTGATCTGTCCTAATGGGTTGGTATCGGACGAAATCTCAGCATGGATTCGAAAAGCTCGTTTGGCTTTTGCCAACTTACGTCATCTATGGCGAAGGCGAGATATCCGTCTATCAATAAAAGGACGAGTATACTGCGCGGCAGTCCGTTCTGTTTTAATTTACGGCTGCGAAACATGGTCATTGAGAGTAGAAGACACTCGTAAGTTACTAGTATTTGATCACAGATGTCTTAGTAATATTGCCAGCATCTGCTGGGATCACCGGGTCAGTAATAGTGAGGTTAGACGTAGGGTATTAGGGAATGGTGGTAAGTCTGTTGATGAGGTTGTTAATCTTCATCTACTGAGATGGTTGGGCCACGTGTTACGTATGCCTGCACACCGATTACCACGACGTGCAATGCTAACGTGTGTTAGAGATGGTTGGAAGAGAATTAAGGGCGGCCAAACCAAAACGTGGCATCAGTGCTTGAAGACACTAACCTCTAGTCCGAGCCATGTTGGTAGATGCAGACTACTTGGTTGAGGGGTCCGCGTGACTTTCGTAACCGATGGTTGGAGACTCTAGGTGACATGGCTCAGAATCGATCACAATGGCGTCGGTGCATACCACCTTTAACCTAACCACTCCCATGAATCCGGTGTTCATCTTGCTGTGCTAACGAGGTATGGCGACCTGGACCGATGCATATATGTGCCTGGTCCTACGTTGTAGCTGACTGACTTGAAACAGATGACTTGCAGACTGGAATAACAAAAAAAAACATCATTGAAAAATACTATCCATCATATTCTACACTGGTTAGATTTTTTGAACGGATTAACCAAGTTTGTTTCTCCATTTTGTGTTATTAAGAAAAGGAACGAGTAGTAATCCAACAAATGATATTTGATTTGTGATGGGGTATTTCATCGAGTTGCAGTAGAGGTAAAAACATTAATTGCTACATTTATTAGAACTGTCAATAATTAATGTGTAGAAAACACTCTTGGAGTAAAATTACATAAATTTAAAGTAGATGAATAATGATGAGCATTTATCAAAGAAAAAAGACTACAGTCAATCCTTTTGAAAATATCTGACGCAAAGTAAATATTTACCTTTCCAGGCCACGGTTTACATTTATTGAGAGCAGTGGCAGTTAACTGAACTAAAATGAGCCAAGCATGAACTGCAGATTCTTCATTTTCGACCAAAATATCATCAACTTCATCTTCAACATCGTCTGAAAACCCATCGTCATCATTGTCATTCATGATCTCATTTTCCTCTAAATCAAAGATCTTTCGTTCGAAAATTTCTTGGATTTCAACCTCGTTACCATTAACTTCTAACGAAGTGCATTTATTCAGATTCCGACATTGCTTATCTCCAGTATTGACTGAATCTGCATTTATGACAGTAGCTGGAGACGTTTCGTGAATAGTTCTTGTTCGGATGCGACCATAACATCTACTGTGTTTGTTAATGCTTGTATTGGGAGATGTGGAAAATGGTTGACCAAGCATTCGAGTAGCTAGTTGAAGTATAGCAAATGAAGCCTGATTATGTACTGACCAGTTAGGAGACTCAAGAAGAGCGTCATATAACAGTTGTGTACAATGATCCAAAAGAGGTCGTCGTAAGAAACTATTTGCTAAACCTGTAGCCAATGGAAGAATAGATTTCAAACCCAATGTTACTGCATTAGGCCAAAACAAAACAGACTGAGGTGAACATGGAGCCGAGGGAATGCGAGAAATCAACTCTTCCCAGCACTCTCGCCACAACTGTTGGTAAATCTCTAAATCACTGGAATTCAATTTCGTTGATATGCTTTCTTTAATATATGGAGAAACACTTGTATTTGTTTCGCGATGAGAAGCACAAAGAGAATTGATATCAACATCACGATTTTTCGAGTGAAAGATAGCACTACTTGTTCTGGAAGAAATTAAATTTTCAACTTCACTTTCAACCTATTGAAGAGGGGTGGTGGAAAAAAAGATGAAGATTGTTAAATAATAATGAAGGGTTTAGTGAAAAATTGTAATTATGCTTTAAAAAGTAATTGTAACTCGTACCAGTTATCAGTCTTTATTCAGTCATAAAAAAAGTATTCCTCCAAGTATTCATACGTCAATATCGGTCTAGTACAAAAAACACAATGCAGTATTTTCTAGGAAGTTAAATTCTTTAGCACCTATCAATTACGGTTATAACTGACAATATCATATTTTACCAGATGATAAATAATCAACATAAAATAAGCTACCTGTTTGCTTAAGAAAATCAGTGGTAAAGTAATACAAGCATGAGCATATAGGAGATCAGGACAATGATGAGCAACAGCATGTAACACACGAACACATGCCCAATGGCTTATTGAAATGTTACTACCACCTTGTACACCACCATCTGAACCGGCTGTAGCTTGTTCTGGTTGTAAGTACCATGAACGTACACGGTTGAACAGTTTTGTAACACTAGTCTCCTGTGAAAGTATAAAATGATAGAGAAAATTTTTTAAAGAAATCATTTTATATAACTTTATCTGTACGGGAGAACTATGTATAAATTAAAAAAAAATTTATATGTAACTAGAATGCACAAAAACTAGTGTAGCTGCGCATATAACGCTTTAGATTATGATTATTTTATTCTATCTGGACTTAGAATTGGAGCATAATCACCAATTATTTTCAGTCTGAGTTAAGTAGAAAGCCATGAACTTTTTCGTTAGATTATTTTGGGAACGTTAATTGCTTGAAGGCACAGCTACTCAAAACTAGTGTACAGAGTTCGTTTGATGACGTCCTACCTAAACATTTTCTCCATCTATTTTCTAACTGCCCAAAGATTATGAGTGACCTATCTCTTTTGATTTAAAGTTTAATGAATACAATCTGTATGCAACAACGCAGAATTAGTTTGACGGTAATTAATTATTCACTTAAACGCAGACACTACTGGTATTTTTATCTTTATATATTCATTGAAAAAGGAATGCATCTATATAATGGAAGTCATGAATATATTACATACGATGGAAAAATAGTTGTAGGATGAATTTATTTCATATTGGTTTAACTTTTCATTCCAGTTGCGTGTATACTTTTATTCTTCAACTCATTCTCTAAATGAATGTTCGATGCTTTAACCGGGTTGGTGGACACGGAGAGTCCACCTGGGGCAGCTGGAAAACCCTGATTTCAAACCAATGGTGCACATGGGCCCCAGAACCATGAGGGAACAAATGGCGTATGAACCAACTGTTGGTCACCGGTTAACATGGGACGGCATTTCTTGCCGTTGCTAGACTGTCTTGTGGATCAGACCTTTAAGACGAAAGCTCCGGGTTTAGCCCGCTCGGAAAACCACCTGCTTCGGTTTGGATGCCCGAGCAGGATCACAGCTCACACACAAATCAAGTGATTCGTGTGCGCTTATGTATTTGGTGCCCCTATGTACCAATATATATGTGTTCAAATAAATACGTTCTTCATGCTGGATGGTTTCACAGTGGTTTTCAATGTTCTTCTGAACAACATTAGCAGTACAAAACTCTGCCAAAATCATTCACCTAATTAAGCTACAAATCTTTTCCCACCATCCCAATTCTTAAACTCACACAATAAAATTTTTTTCTTGAAGGTTCTGCCCTGTCTAACGGTCTCAAGACTCTAAATGGTCAACTTATGAATGGTGTCATCGAATATAAAATCTAGTGTAGCTGCTTCAAAGCTACAGGTGTAACCTAAACTTCACTCTTCCAACATTCGTATCTTGATCTAAATTAAATAACAGGTATGTTTAAATAAGTTTTTAAAAAGTCTTAATATTGAGTTGTGCAGTACATATGAGGCCAGTATTTTCAAAAAAAAATGAAATAGCACATCTATTCTCCACCTGTCGATTAAAAGTTTGTTTGAAGTACGCTTATCCCGATACAGTGTGAAATCGGCAGTTTCACTGGATACGGTGTCGCATAAGGAAGAAATACTAATCAATATGATCGCCATTGGTTCATGTGCCGTTAGGTTAGGCGGCTCCAACAATGTGCGAAACGATATCTCTAAAATACTCCGAAAATCATGCAAAACACGTCAATGAATAGCTAATGTGGAACAAACCGGTTTCGTTACGGCTAGGGGCGTATGGATTGCAGTATGTTGTATTAAGATGAGTATTTTCAGTGTTAATTTTTTAAACTCAGTTAACCAACAAATGTTTAAACAAGAGATAATTTACTTTGGCAAACCGCAAAAGACTGGCTAAAGTTCTAGCCATTTCCTCTTGAATAACTTTCCCAGCTGAGTTTGGATGGCGACAAGCACCAGGAAGCGCAGACAAGAGTGCTGCCAAAAGCTTTCCCGTATGAGGAGCAAGGGAGGCGAAACCATCACCAGTAGAGTTGCAACAAACAGAGTTTAGTTGGTTACCAGAACACGAATTAGAATAACTAGTACCATCAGGCACATTGGATGACCCGTTAGCAACTGAATTGTGTTTTTGACTCTGAAGCATTGTACGAGATCGATTCCCAAGGGTTGGTGAATCAATTGCCCCAGAGCTTAAAGAGTGTGCGCTAACCTCATAAGCAGAACCGCAAGGAGGAGTTGGGGGAGACAATCCATACAAGGAAGAAGGTGATGAGTGTGATGATCCAGATGGTGAATTATATGTTTTATGACTAGGAGAACTGTTTGAATTATCTTTTAAAAAAAAATTCAAAGTACGAAAAGCAAATAACACAAGATGTTATTAGGTTCAAGGAAATGAAAATAACATTAAAATCTTGAAAAGTTTCCTAAGTTAATGTATTTAAGCAAATATAAAATCTAATAAATAAAAACAAAAGAATTTCTATTAAAAACCTAAGACTGAAATTAAATGTTAATGTTGAACTTACCTAGACCACTGGTTACAAGTTGCGATCTAGAAGCCGCACACCTTATGCATGTAGTTGTTTTAGGAGAGACGGCCAAAGCGTTTGTATTCGCTGCAGCTAGATGAATTATGAAAACACAAGCAGCAGTCGCAATAGAAGCTGAACCACTAGCTCCAGTTCCGCGACTACCTCCACTAGCGCTGCTAGAACCTATAGTTGCAGAAGAAGATCCACCACCAGCCTTCAAGAGTTCAGTAAATGGTACAATGAGGCGTGATAGGCAAATATCATCAAGCAGCCGAACACACTAAAAATAGTATTAAAATAGCAGTATAATAATAGGAAAACTGATGCATAATAAATCATGAAGTGTAGATACTTTCAATAGTAATTTTTTTAAAGAGATGAGGAAAACATAATACTGGTTAGCATTTTGTAACCACTCTTTGTTACACACTTCTTTGTGTCTTAATTTAGCTTTCTATATGTATATAGCAAGCCGAGTAAATGCGGATAGTCTACAGTGACAAAAAGAACTTACTAATCTCAGAACTTCTGCCATTTGAACTTCCTTGCAAGCTGAAGCCGGGTTTAATGAAGGTAATACAGATTGTTGAGTAGGGTTATTAGACTGAGCAACACTTAGTGAAATGTTCGTTGCTGATGATAATCCTGAGGTGGGATTCAATGAATTTGGAGCACCTTGTGAATAAATATGTAGATGATGAATAGGTTGTCGCATTAAATTAGCAACAACCGATGGGTGAATAGAAGACATTGCTTGTAATCCGGATAATACGAGCTGTGGAAGAGCAGGACGTAATGCAGATGGACGTGCAGTACGAGCAGCTGCTAAAAGAAGTTCAAGTGCTAGTCGTCGTAACTCACTAGAAGGTTGACGGCCATTCTTATTCGAAGCTGTCTCTGCACTTAGTGACCATGGTGCACGCTCAATAATCACTGGAAGTAAACCAGGCAACAATCCAGTTGCTGCTTCACGAGAGCACGGATTTTCCAGAACACGTATAACAAGCTAAAAAAGATTTCATGAATATAATAGTAATAATAATACAAAAATATATTATCTCATTATAACAAAATAGTGAAGAAATTAAAATATAATGTACTAACATCAGCAAACGAAAAATGGCCTACAAGTCTTTTTTTAATTCAACGGAGCTCTAGATTTCACTACTAGCCACCATTCATTTCTCAGTTAGTCAGTCAGCTAAAACATAGTATCAGGCACATATATGCATCGGTCCAAGTTGCCATACCTCATTAACACAACAAGATCAACAACAAATTCATAGAAGTAGTTACTTCAATGATAGTAATATATATAAAAAACGTTTGTGTATGAGGATATATTACAGGAAGAAAGAATTAGTTCGTAGAAACCAAGATATGAAGCAATTTCAATCTCAAAGTTTAAGGGAAGACAAAGAGTGTATACACCTATACCACTGTGATGGAGTTTGAGACATGTCACCAAGAGTCTCCAGCCATTGGTTACGATAGTCACGTGGACTCCAACCAAGTAGTCTGCATCTACCAACATGACTCAGGCTAGAAGTCCGTGACTTCAGTGACTGATGCCATTTAACATGATGGACCAATCATTCCTTAAGGTCCTACCATGCCAGACAGGTCAGTTAAAGAGTGGTAAGACTAAAAGCAGCAAACCCAAGATTCGAGGGTCAACTCGCGGTGCTGACTGTACAGAGGTGTGACGACAGTAAGGCGTTTCCTTCAGTCAACCAGCATAACAGCGATGCTGCCTTCTCACAAGGAGGATTGAGTTTAGGAAAGGTCGACGCTAAAAATGCATATTTCGTCCTCATATCTCAAACAGCACCATTCATTGCTGCTTATAATGCTGGTGACTTAAGATAATATCGAGGGTATCCGCATAGGATGCACATATACCAGAAAGAGACTAATCAATTGCAGTGTTAAGCATCAATGTGAAGATTCAGACAACCGATAAAAATTAATCAACCAACAGTTTTAATCGAGGTAGTGATTCAACATTGAAATATTTGTTATACCGAGGGCACTTTGAGCCACTGATCATACCATTACTTCTATGAAATTTTAAATAACATTTCAAGGCGAAGTATTTATAAACATAAGTTTTAACAATTTGTTTGTGATCCAAACAAATTTGTGGTTGCTATTACCATGAAGACTGTAATAAATACCAAATGAAACTGATAAATGTCGCAAACCCAACGGGAGTGAACAGAATAACTTCTGAACATATGAACAAAGTATTATAAAGAAGTAGCGTGTCAAGAAAAGCAACGGCAGAAGTTTGCTGTGCTCTGAAGACTAGTTCATTTACTTTCAACACTTCTAACGATTGTGAAAGAACCAAAGAGAGTAGGAAAATTAAGAGTGAACAGGAATTTATGTTTTAAAAGGTCAATAAATAAGTAGGGAAAAAAATCCATGCACAAATACATATACATAAATCGATTAATTCAGATAAGGAAATGTGGGGGAGGGACTTGGACAAATGAATCGACTACATACAATAAGCTACCTCACATTGGTAATTCTTGTTTGTCATATCCTCGTGCAACAATTTGTGAACCGTTCTGACTTGCTTGGAACATCATTCATTAACATATCTCAAATAATACAAGACTGAGTCATGAAAAATGGGCATCGGCTTAAATAAAATTTGTGTTTAAATTACGGAAGCAAGAAAAACATAAACTTTTATTAGCGAAGTTTAAACTTACTTTCTGTACAGTGATAGCAGCTTCTTCAGCGGGAGTTGTGATGCCTGAATTATCATTTTCAAACATGTCACTTGATTCAGATTCATCACATAGATTAAGGAGTCCAGACAATAGAGCAGGTAAATGCCCTGCAAGACGCTTATCAGCTGAAGGATGTGTGGCTAAACTACTTATAGCCAAGCAACAGGCATCTCTTAAACGCATGCTTTGTGTGCCCGTACCACTACTTTGGGAAGTGTTTGAGGGTATTTTATTTGTTGATAATGTTCCCAAACCGTTAGGAACGTTTGGGGCTGATTGGGGAGAATTGCCACCCATTTGTGTTGAATGAAAGCTCAATGTGTTAAATCCCAGTTGAGTTTTAATTTCACATACGATCGCGTTGAAATGTGCTTCAATCTGACAAGATAAATTAGTAAGTCAATGGTTGACAGATAATAATTTGGAAATAAAAGCAACTGGTTTTTATTCATCACGTGGCAAGTCTGAATATGTTTATATTAAACCCGGCAACCGTGTACTACAATTAACTTTCATATTAATGGTGTAGCTCAAACTCAAGTGTTCTAACCTTGATAACTTAATTACATTCAAATAAACTGGATGATTAGAAAGAAATTAGGCTAATTTGATTGCTCTAATCGGATGAGAAAACTAGTGTGAATTGAAATTACTGATTGCCAGTCGTTACAGCCGCAAAAAAGTGAACTAAGTCGGATAAAAATAAACTCAAATTGCTTGAAGTAAGGACGCTTATGGAGAAAAAATATCTAGAAAAATTTATTGCTTAAGATAAATGTTTAATATTGAAAGTGTACTTGCATGTTTTAAATGAAACAGAATATCAAACCGCATGATAATAACTTAAGTGAAAAAAATGTATTTAGCTCATTCAACAGGTGCTGAGTTGCCGTGAGTAAATTCGGCGAATATTTCTCATGCGACGAATTGGCACTGCGCAAAATTATGCGTGTCTAGCAACGACAAATGAGACGAATGTGGAGAAGTTGGTCAAACCAAGACTACAAGACACTAATATACATTTCACTGCATGATGTGCTAAATTTTGTGATTTAAATGTTATTAATAGTACTGATACTTTTGAATAAAAAATGCTTTCTTTATGTACAACATTGAATAACTTATTTCACACTGAAAAAGTTATATACACCTAATCGTTGGTTGCATGATCTTTTAACACTGATAGTGTAGTGAACGAGAACACAGGTGGGGACAAACGGATGTATTTAGCACAACAATTACAGTCTATTTCAACAATATCTGAATACCACATATTAAATCGTCAATTTGCAAAATATTTACGCATCAAACCAAACTGGATTATTTCTGTTGCAAACACCAATCCATTGTCTCCCATTCCATTGTTCATAGGTTTTCTTACAAATTCCATTATGTTCTCGCTCCACCTTTCTTGGTCTTCGCCATCTTTTGCTGCCAGACATTACGTTCTTTTACCGCACGTTATATACTACTTATATCAATATAAGTAGCTCACACCACAATAGTATCAAACCTACTGTTTCAGTTACAAATTTGAAGTCAATAGGTCCTAATGCTGTGGTAAAACTTCTCTATATCAAATATGACTGAATATAAACTTCCTATCCATGACAATTGCAATTTGTAGCTCAGAAATGAATATCTTTCACTTATGGTTTGTGAATTTCTAGTCAATGAGAGTTGACTAACTAAACTTGGGTAAAATATTTCAAGAACGTTTAAAGTACAACCTTAGTTGAGTGCTGAAGTCAAATCTGATAAAACCTTGAAAGTGTGAAGATCTGTTCACAGATTTTTTCTGTCAGATATTAAGAAACTGCAGTCAACATCCGTTCCACAGAAAACTTCAGTGAACTGGAGAAGTAAATACACTTTCAGTAAGATAGAAAAGCGAAGCCTTCGATAAAACAGATTTATCAAAGGACAAACTATTGATTTCAAAATGAACATTTTAATATACAGAGTACGATCTAAGACAATAGCAGGTATACAAGTGGTGTGGTTATTGGTTACACGTGATATAGGTAATCATACACAACATATTAATACAATAAACTTACAAGATCCAGATGAATATGCTTTGACAAATATAGTTAACTACGAGTCTATTCTAGACAATAATGGAAGCTATCTCCAATACAGAAGCTGATGGTAATACATTCTACGAGCCTTCATCAATAAAAAAAAGCGGACCACATAGAAATCTAGATTTAAACTTGCGCTGTGGAAGAGATGTTGATACGAAATGATAATTGTTCAGTAAACAATTAGAAAGACCTGATTGGTTATTACTTCATTTTCTAGTAGTAGATTTACTTCCGAGTAAGTGAATAGTTGAGTACTCTACATCCATAACTTCCAACTAACAAATGATAAGTTTAAATTCACCTTTAAATACTAAGGTGTAGAAAGATCAGTATGATTTGTTAGATAAAGTAATAAATGAGAAAGCATAATATGCATTAAGAGTCGAAAATACTCACTATTAAATAAAAGTGAAACTTACCATTTCCGAAACTAAAGAATGCAATGAATTCGGTGCGGGTGATGAAGACAACTGAGTATTTTGATTGGTTGGACTTGTTATTGTTGATGACGAACCAGATATATTAGGATATGAAGTGTTAGTTGATAGAAATGGTGTTGCCGAATTAGTTGCATATAAAACCAAACCAAGCCAAACATTCTCCATTGCCTGACGAAGTTTAGGTCGAGCAAAATCAAAACGACGGACAAACACTCGAGGTACTAGACGTGGGAGAGCGGGAGCTAAAGATCTACCGAGTCGTCGTACTAGACTTGAATAAGTAACGCTTGATGCTAAGTTGAATGCTATGTTGGAAAAACAACTTCCGGATTGAGGATTCCCAGAAGCATTGGTGTTACGTGACGTTGATGGGAGAGCGATGGCTAACACAATTAATGATAAAGCCAAGTCTGGGCGCCCAATTTGTTGAGCTAAGTTGCACAGTTCATGATAAACTGGGGAACTGGATCTGTAATAGTAAGAAAAATATCAACGAAATGAATATTATTTCAGTTCATGGTTAAGATTACTCAGTGTAATTGAGAGATGTGATGACAGCCGAACCAACTAACAGTAACATAACAACTAACATGAATGCAGTAATAACTTTTTCATTAACAACAATAGTCATATAAGTACTAAATATAAAATGTTGTACCAATTGGTAGTCCGCTGCCAAAAAAACAATACTAATTACCAGAGACGTTTAAACTGTAAGTTACGATTTGTTGTTTAGCAAAAATATTTTCCGTTACTATGATCTGATGTCAAGTGAAAAAGTAGGAAAGCATAAGAAATTCTGTTGTGGACTATAAGTGATGACTGAAACAAATCGATATTACGTAGGGTTGAGAATGCAAGACAGATAAGTCAAATCTCATTATGCCAACATGAATTAGTTGATAGTGTAGTGAACGAGAACACAGGTGGGGACAATCGAATGTACTTAGCACAACAATTACAGTCTATTTCAACAATATCTGAATACCACATATTAAATCGTCAATTTGCAAAATATTTACGCATCAAACCAAACTGGATTATTTCTGTTGCAAACATCAATCCATTGTCTCCCATTCCATTGTTCATCCATTTTCTTACAAATTCCATTGTGTTCTTGCTCTTCTCCATTTTCTGCTGCCAGACATTACGTCCTTTTAACGCATGTTATATACTACTTATGTCAATATAAGTAGCTCACACCACAATAGTACGCTTTATAATTCTCTTTATATTCAATTGTTCAAGTAAAAACAATTATCTGGAGATTCATACAGATACAATTTTAAAAAGCGGAAAGGTTACGATTAGCAAATAATATCTAGCATCAATGAATATTTGTTCGTATTTCACAAGTATACATTTAGAAGCTGAAACAAATGATAACCTTATAAGTAATAAAGTAGTTTTAGCTCGTTTTACAGTAAATTTAATGTTTAAGTGATGAACTCAAGTAAAGAAGTTATTGTTCTTCCTTTGAAGGAAACCTTACTTTTTATCATCTCCGATTGCTTGTGTTAAACTTGTAATAAGCTCTGAACGTTCGTCTTCTGAACTTCTGTCATAAATTAAGCCCAAAGTTGCAACAACAACACACTGTACGGACTCTATAAGTAGAACATATAAATAGGTGAGTGAAAATTTCCAACCAAATGAATGTGATCCAAAAACTCTTGTCTTATTTTTCCGTTGACTTAAAAAAACTGTTTTGTGCAAGACTACGTGATTTATTGTCTAAAAAGGAACAAACGAGTTTTGTACATGCTTGGCTTTTATTTTTTTTAACTTTCATGTACATACTTAATACGGGAATAGCACAGAGAAATTGGGAATTTCTATAATTATTCATATATATCGTGACTTTTTCCGCACAACCACAAATAATTTTTATCGCAATGGATGTCAAATATTTTCTTAATGAATCAAAACCTGGTGATCCCCCATATAAAGTATTACAGCTCGAAAGATAAAATTTCCTTTCGTAAATTTTCAATATTTATTGTTACGTATAGGACACTTACTTGATTACACTTAATAAATAAAGCACAAGCGGTTATAAGGAACATTAGAATTTTCATTTAAAGAGCGAATAAAAGTTTGGCACTACAGGAAAAACTTGTAATAATTTTAAAGCACAAAGAAAGCGAGAAAGTCAGGGTTAACGGATGTCTAATTGTAGCATCTCGCAAGTGAATCTACTTCTGATGGTAATAATTATGAACAACAAACCTAAAAAATAATATGCAGTAGGTGTACGTCACAGATTGATACAAACTGAGGAATTGTTATATAGTTACTATAACCTAATTTGTAAAAAAATACATCAAACACTACTTTATAAAAGGTTTGTAAGTAGGATTTGAGCATCCTAATCTAAAAATTTCGTAAAACCATAGGTTTAAAAAAGAATAAAATCGGAATAGTTATCGTTACCATCTTTTTCGTCCAAAAGATCAATTAGCAACTGGTAAGAAAGTAGTGATTTTGGAAGTGGACCCAAACGCCGAACTAAGTTAAGAATCCATAAAGTTGCAGCGATAGTCACTGGTCGTGTTTGGACCTGTCCTGGACGGGGGGTAAGTAGTGATCGAAGCTGTTCTGCCAACCATCGAGCATTTGGTCCGGTAACAGCAGCATTTAAACTATGTGCTGGAATGACAAGAGGATAATTCCTTTCATACCAATGAAATCGATAGGGTGATATAGGTCCAAGAATACAGTCAGCTAGGGCAGTCCCTACAGCTAAATGAAGGCTTGGGTCGTTAATCTGAACAGATAAATGAGAGAAAAAATACGATTAAAAAATGCTGATACAAATATTTTGTCTGGTATATAAATTGATATTAAAATATATACTTTTAAGTAACCTAAAAATCATATAAAAATCTTATCTTTGGAAACACCAACTTATGTAATGAAATAAAATGTTCTGTTTTTGAAATAGGTAGATATTTTAAATTATCAGAAAATCTGGCCTCATTTTGGAAATATTAAACGGAGTTACTAGATATTATCAGGTTTTAATTTCTGAATATTCATCAGAAATCATAATGAAATAAGGCTTTAGTCAGCTATGAATTATGGTGAGCTATAGTCATGAATGTGACAAAGCGACATGATCATGAGAGATAAATGACAGAATCCTAAATCAATAATTAGGATCAGGAGTATGGTTGCCTAGAGATACAATAACAAACGATTTCATGAAACTTGTTAGATTACAGCAGAGAATAGATTACACCGCAATAAACATACATGTTTAGAGTCATTTCCTAGGAAGTAGGGATATCAGCTTTTAGTAAGAAAAAAGCATTTCTTACATGATATTTCATTTTCTTTAATACGACACTAGTGGTTCGATATAGTTCATAGAATAAATTTCAATTTTTATACGTAATGTGACCCAATCATATGCGCAAACCGGAGAATTTCTGAGAACACTAGTTGTAGGATACTCCATGTATTAGCATCAGAGTTGTTATTAGCGAAAAAGAGATTGTGATAGTAAGAGAAACTAATACCTGATATCAAATAGTAAATATAGACAAAAGAATAGAGGTTAAAAATCGTCATCTGAACGATCGAATCGATATAAAACTACCGAGAGAACAAAAGCATACAACGGTTACGCGATTTTTCCCAAAATTGTGAAGACTACGAAAAATCATTTATACATTCATTTATGTCGACTAATAGTCGACACAGAAACAAAATGAACTTCAGGATAAAGAGCGTGTTTCGAAAAACTACTGGTTTAAAAATTTAAAAAAACTATCAAAAAACTGTTAAAAAACGAACCACATCTAAGTTGTTTTTTAGAGACGTTTGAATTAAATGAATGGTGTGTTTCTTTTGGGAACGTTAGATCCCCAGAACTCACTTGAGAAAGGACCTAATTTTGTAATTTTATTTGGAAAATTCAAATTTCTTTATTTTCGCGCCAAAGGCGCTCTTGTCATCTTCATGTCGTATTTCCCACTGGGAAATATCTTCAATGCTATTGGTCCGTTGTGTCTTTTAGTATGCTATTTGGTAACTCTCCCCAAGGACGGTTTTTTACTGTATAGATACGTTTTGAATTGTATTTGTTATTGTCGCTCGTTTCTGGCTGTTTGCAGAATATACTTCCCATTCCAAGTTTGGAATCCTCCCTCTAGTTAGCTGGGCTGGGACGCATCAATAACTAGCTTACTGGTCTTTGGTCACTGAGTCTTGTTTCTCGTTCGTAGATTAAGTGAACTCGTGATAGTAATGTGAACAGGGAAACAAGAAGCCCTGATAAACTACGAAAGCTATTTTTCGGGACGTTATTTCATTTTATTCAAAGCTTGTAAAACACTGACATTTATTTTTGTCTCTATTTTATTCTACAGAAAATGAGCTTTCGTTCGATGTAACATTAATTGCCATACCCCCTTTTGTCCCGAAGCTATTGTAATTTAAACATATTATTTTGCACCTTGTTTTCTACCGTAATTCCCAGTTTTGGACATAATTGTATTTTCCCAAGTTATCGTAAGTTGTGGCCAGGATATTCACCTATTTGTTTATGTACCTTTTTGCACTAATCTGAACTCAGAGATTTCACAGGAAATCAGGATATCGCAATACAGCCAGTGTTCCAACCGTCTTGTCTTCTCTGATTACCGTTCTTCCCAGCCAATCAGTTGCTAGAATAGTTTTCTTCTCTCTACCCCACCTCGGATTTACGCGTACTAGCCTCAAGGTTAAACCGGCCAGCCTATTGCGTCAAGGTCTTAATCTAGAGTACACAGATCAAGGTCATAACAGATAGCTTCAACCCTAGCAGCTCCTCAGCTAGTACACTGAATAAAGAAGCCATTCATAGAGTAGTTTACGTACTTTTACTCAGTGACTAGTATTTTTTAAAAATTAAATTCATTCATCGAGTACTGCTCAATGTTTCATTTTTTTGAATAGTGACAGCTATATCCTATTTCCGTATTGATAGTAACTATTAGTCATAAGAACAGAGTAGTTGTACACAATCTAGCTACAAATTAGTACATACTCTCTTGAGAGCATAACAATAATTTGATTAGTTATTTGTGGACACAATAAATCTTATGTTACCTACCGACTTAAAATGTAGGATTTTCCCTTCAATTTCTTATATCTACATTATATGCGGTGTGGGTTAAATTGAGAGAGTTGAACAAAGCCTAAAAACTAGTTAATCAAATGCGACGTAGAATCTAGTATGTGTGTACATCGGTTCAAGTTCCTATACTTTATCAGCACAGTGAGATAAAAACATTAAGGCACACCCCAGAGTATTAGGGTTAGTAAAAGTATTAGTGGTCATAGAAAAAGATTTAGCATCGAAGATACGATCCAAAAAAATTAGTTCACTAAAAAGATTGTGATGAATTTTGAAACTTAGAATTTAGGGGAAGACAAAGAATAGATGCATCTGTACCACGCCATCCAAAGGCTTTACCATTGGTAATGACAACTAGGTGGACCCTAACCAGATAGTTTTCAACTAACTAGATAGCTCAAAGTCTGATAGTCAATGACTTCATGGACTGGTATCATGTCTTGGTTTGACAATCAGTAGATTTATTCCACATCACTCCCACACCAGACAACATTTCCTGTCGAGGTAGGTGATTGGGCGAACGTAACACAAGTCCTTACCACCTTATTCGATGAAGATTCAGTGCTTTATCAATTGGTTTGTCATACCTACCTAGTACGCTGTTCCTAACCCGAGGATTGCTTGGGTTTGAAAATAAGCATAGCAATTTGCTAATTTTTCCTTAGACGAATTCAAGATAGGGATTATGCGCTATGTCAGCAGACCTTAGATGATGGTAGTTAAAGTATAAGAGCGAAACATCAAATTCATGAGTAGAGCGATTTCACAAAGAACATTTTTAAATGTGTTAGAGAGGATGAACATATAACGGACGGTCAAGAAATCGAATTTCTACTTACTTCAGCTGTACCCACCATAATTTTCATAATAGAAATCGTGTGGGGATGACATTTAGGTTTTGAGTTTTCGGTTGCTTTAGATTCTGAAGAAGAAGATGCTTCATCTTTTGTGGTTTGATAACCTTCACCCATGCAAACGGCTGCCAAAGTTCGAAGAGCAGCTTGTGAAACTCTTGGATATCTGAGTGACGATGAGGAACGTTCTTCACTAACGGTTGGCAGATATGATACAATTCGATGAACAAATGAAGCTTTAGAACTCAGTAATGAGGTGGTCGAATTATTACCATCAATAGGTAATGTTCCGGATGGAAGATGCGATAAACAACCAGCTCTGCCAATAACAACAAGTGCCTCGAGTAATGCAACCACTGTAGCTTGTGATACACTAGAATTAATATAGCAATATCCATCGTTGTCCAGAGTATTTTTTGTGTTATTTATTTTTAGACTATCAACAAGCTGACTAGGCTTTACCAAAAATCCATCTATGAAACGATGAAAATTAGTAAAGACAATAAGTAGAAGTTGATGCACAAAATCAAGAACTAAAGGCTAATTAACAAACATTTTCCAAAATATAAATTCACATACTCATGGATAATTATTTTACATGTTTGTCATTAGTTTTAATCGTTGTTCATATGAAAATATAGGTACGATAATCCTTGGTTAGAGAAGGATGTTATTATCTCAGTTTAAAAATTTCCGTTCAGAAATGAGAACTAAAAATTGGCGTAAATTACATTTGAATATTAGTAATACAATAACAAAAACAAACATTTTGGACATATAAAATGAGTCTATCTATTTAATTATTAGGATTTACTTAAAATTAATATTGATAATTTGAAAAATTACTAACCCATTAGACTTAGCAGTTCCTCTATGGTTCGAATAATATCAGTTTGGAGGTTTCTATGATTTTGTTGTTTTTCTTTCTTTCCCTTTTTTGTTTGTTCCGCTGAAGACTGTTTATTGGTTTTAGAAGTGAAACCAGTGGAATTAAATGGTACAACATAAGCCGTGAATAACCGTTCGAGAAGATAAGCTGCACCCATGAACATGCCCTGAACTGCATGGGACGATTCGCCATCAATAACAGAACCTGGGCTGGGAAGTGTAGCCAGCATACCTTTTGCTGTTTGCAAAGCCTGAGCGGGGGCTTCAGTTTCCATAACAACTACGCTGTAGACAGAAGCGCAAGCGTGACGACAACTCGCTCCTCTAGGGGTTGCCAACAATACATTCTAGAAAACAACGGAGTAATTTAAATTTTTAAAAATAAATAAGATATGCTTGGAAGAACTCAAATTACTAGTTTTCATAGTTTATGCTCAATACGCAGGTTTTGCTCAGATTAGATCGACTAAATTCAGTTACGCATAATAACCGAAAATAGATGCACGGAATAAACAAATAGTGAAAATGTGAGGAGCATCAACGCAGATCAAGCAACCCACCGAAAGATTCAGAATACTGATGGGTCAAAATACACCTCGATTTTGCCAGTTCTATAACAGAAGTACATGATTTAGTGCTAGATGTATACTCGTAATACCGCAGGACTCGAAGAAAGTGATTATTGACGATGGTTTCGAATTTAAGTCGAAATGGTCCACTGATTTTTGTTAACGCACCACTGAAAATTATATTCGCCCACTACTATACCATCAATAATGTAATGGAAAGATTCAAAGACCTGTGGACAGTTCAAGGAGGATTTGATTAAAAAAGGGAACATGCTCTAGCAGAGATAATTCAGTGTATCCTATTTATTTACAAGAGTACCCAGTACTGCAGAAATCGTTAGAAGAGGAATTAATGGGACGAATGCATCGAACAATAAACTGCATACAGAGACCAGTCAGGAGCAAAGACAACTAGATGGTAGTTTATCTTAGACTCATGAATCAGTGTTTGCGGATGTAGCGGAAATCAAGCATGGGTAAAATGTGTCAGTGGGTAGAAAACTTTTCGAGGTAATTGTGAAAGGAAAAATATGAGAGGAGTGTTAGAACCTACAACACAGAAAACTCAGTGAAGATCAGCCAGAAGAACTCAACATAACCACTAAACCCTTCCCTTGATGTTTTTAAATTTTAGATGTTACCAACAAAAATGCAAAGCAGTGAAGAGAGAGTGTAATTTGAAAAAATTGACAAACTTAAGAGAAGAAATATGGTAAGATTTCAAATGCAATGAACTAATTGAAAAAAACAAAAGTATTTACTTAATCTAAGATATCTGTTTCATTAACATTTCGAAAAACGACAGCTCAAACACGTAGGGAAGCCCAAAGTAATCGTTTTTATTTTATAACATCACTGGGTCTTATGCTATCTGATTAACTGTTTTAACACTTCGTTTGCTGTTTTTTCGTGTATCTGGTTTAGACTTGATATTGTATAGGAAAACTTCTACAAAAATTTTCATTTTTTTGTATACTAGGACCATTTTCAGATATCCTGATCTATTTCTCTTAAATTGTATGAGATTGTTGTTTAAATGTTGTGTATCAGTCATCCGGTTCGTCTAAATGATCGATGTTTGGAATCACCGTAAGCTTAAAAACGTAACATTATAAACTGTCAAAATTTGGCTTATTAGAGATTTAGAATATTTTCAGTGTGTTGGACGATAGAAAAACTTAAGATCTCTGAGAGTAAGTAAAATTAAGTTTGGAGGCAGTCATTTTTAAAAAACAAGTACATGAAAACAAAGAAGTTGGTTTGTAAACAAGTAGAAAAATATTTGACCAGAAGATAAATTGTAGTACGCCGGTAAGAAACGATTATTTATTTTTATTCGATATATATTAAGGAAACTCACATTCATACGATCAAAAAGTTGCTTATTACATGTAATCAATTCTTTGGTATTGCCAACCAAAACTTCTTCTAGATAATTTGGGAAATCTGGAGCTGTAAGATGTAAGGAAAATAAGAACAAGTTTTATAACTTGGTTTTGAATCACTCCAAGATAAAACACTCAAGCAACTGTTGCTGCATATCTACCGATTATTAGCATATATATATATATATATATATATATATATATATATATATATCACAGATTTAGGAATCTGATTAATTAAGATAAAAATTTAATGACGATTACCAAGGAGAAAATCACAAGAGTTTGGTGCTTAATTGTAATACGTAGCAAACAGCTACTGAAGTACAGGAGTGGATTAAGGAGTATTAGAACTCGAAATCAGAGGCGCAATGAGGTGTTAATTGTCTTTTGATAGAGATTTTGTGTGATACAGCACGGTGTCGCCGTGCGTTATATTACCACCAAATTTTCACTTAAGGTCTTTCATCAACTCTCCGTCTTACAGTTTTGCTTTGCTTGTATAAAATGTTTTCTGCTTGCCTGATGCAAAATATGAATGATTGTTTTATTTCTTAGGTTGCCTGATACTGACTTGATGAATACATCAAACACTAATTATTTCTTCTAAATTCGAATGTAAAACCTTAACAACATTAGGGGGAATGACATTCTTTTGAAGTTGTTAACACGCTGTCATAACAACGATAAATTCCGGCTTAATTTACAGAAGATAATAATATAGTGTTATGATTTTTTAATGTACAGGAAGTAATGCCTGTTGAGAAGTCTTTCTTAATATTCACAAGGGTATAGATGATTTGTGGTATTTCGTTTGCAAAATAAATTCAGATACTTTTCAGAAAATTAGGTGAGATGAAAATAAAATAAAACTAACAATCTTTAGTGTGCTGCGATCGCGTGAAAATAACCACTTGAATAAGACGAAAATAAGTGTCGATACTGCGTTTCGCTTGTTCAGGATTGATAACTGGAACATTGGCGCCAGTGGAAACAGAGGTACTCGTTGAAGTTGTAGATACAGTTGTTGTGTTATTAACTGAAAGAGGGGTTTGAGATACGGTTGTCGTCAAGTTTCCAGCAGAAAGAAAGTACCTTACAGTTTGATTAATCAAATATCGAACCTCTTCTTCCGTTTCGTAAGTAAGACCAGCCTCCTGTGCAGGTGTTAGGCCACCATGGGTTGCCAACAAGCATAAACGAATAAACTGAACCACCTACAGGAATCAACATATGGTGATTAGTGAAATATATATGTTCTGCACGGTAAATACGCGAAGTAAGCTACCAGAACTCTAAGTTATGCACAAAACCCAGTAAGCAACATATGACGTTAAACATGAACACTTATCATCGTAGAAGAATTTGGACTTGATTGTCTATTTACTTACTTATAAAAATTGTAATTTCTCTGCCCTGTTTAGTAAACTCGTAAAGCAAGGTATAAAAAAAACACTAATATTACAAAATTTTGGGTTGTTTGATCACTATACTAGATTATTGATCTCAATCACTAGAACTGTGCTCTGGCATTTCTCTTCGTCACCCCGAAAAACAAAATAGAAGCTATCCACGAATATTTTAAGTAATTGCCAAAGTATATTGTGGTAAAAGTTGAAAATTTCGAAGGTTATAAGACTAATGAGTTTGTACAATGAGATGTGAGTGACACTAGTGAGGGTGGTGTTTAGATCTGAAATATGTTAGAGAAATCCGTAGTTTCAGAGATCACAAAATCAAATCAATCAATAAAATCAGTTAAAAGTGAAAGATAACGATTCTAGGCAATGACCTTCGTAACTGTCGCAATTCGAAGTTGGGGAAGCTGGGTGACGCAAAACCCACCTAGATGTGATTGCGACTGATTACAATCAGTCAGTCAGCTAAAACATAGTATCAGGCACATATATGCATCGGTCCAAGTTGCCATACCTCATTAACACAACAAGATCAACAACAAATTCATGGAAGTAGTTACTTCAATGATAGTAATATATATAAAAAACGTTTGTGTATGAGGATATATTACAGGAAGAAAGAATTAGTTCGTAGAAACCAAGATATGAAGCAATTTCAATCTCAAAGTTTAAGGGAAGACAAAGAGTGTATACACCTATACCACTGTGATGGAGTTTGAGACATGTCACCAAGAGTCTCCAGCCATTGGTTACGATAGTCACGTGGACTCCAACCAAGTAGTCTGCATCTACCAACATGACTCAGGCTAGAAGTCCGTGACTTCAGTGACTGATGCCATTTAACATGATGGACCAATCAGGCTACACTGGCTAGAACAATCATTCCTTAGGGTCCTACCATGTCAGACAGGTCGGTTAAAGAGTGGTAAAACTAAAGGCATCAAACCATCATTAACCGAATGTTAACTACCATAAATTATGGGTTGGACAATATTTATTTATTGTTATCACAACTGAAACTCCTAAACAGATGTGAACCAGAAATACTAAAACAGTTAGGTGATAGATCCTTCACGGGTTACAGATAATCACTGTTAATACAGTTAATATTTCTCTCCACTGTGAATATTTGATCATAAAGAACCATGTATAGTTGTACTACTTAACCAAACTTCAGATTATAATGAAAATTTCAGAAATACTAAATTTACCGGAATCAGACGTTCCACTTCAACAAACGGATTTTTACGTGAATGCTGAGTATCCTAAAAATAAAGAAATAAACTTTAGGGAAAACAAATTAATGGTAAACATTTTTCGATATCGTCCACGAAAGCATCACCATTATTTAAATAAACTGTTGTAGGGAAAACGTAAAATTAATTACATCAAAAAAGATGTCATCACAGCATATAAGTCTCATGGTTTCATTCGGAGATGCAGTTCGTGGGATATCGACAGTATAATTACGGAGAAGGAATATATTGATAGCTTATAATTGTCTGTTATAAAGCATACGACATAGTTTCTTCTCGTCAGAACCCAGTATATCAGAAAGTGTAAACTAGGATACTATTTTGAGGAACAAATTAAACACCCTTTCGAGTTGTGATAAGCGAATTAGAATTTTATTGTCATTATAAAAGTGACGCTTTCACAGTTCAAACCAACTATAATGAATGTGATACGTTCGTGCGTTATAATAATGTTTTGCAATACTGATTGTCGTACAATGAACGCGACTGCTTCTATTCTCTTTAATTATTCCGTTAGCTAAAGTAAAGAGACTAGTTCAATAGTTGAGGCTTTTTGATGATGATCCCAGTATATTAATTAAAAATACATTTAAGTTAATCAATTATATATCGACTATAATTATTAGAATTTGTAAACTGATAATTTATTACTGATTGGAAATAGTAGTAAAAATGTACTGAAAGTTTATGAGCTGAGTTCACACTGAATAATATAAACTAATGGAGATCCACTTTAATAGACGCCAAATTCTTTACTCATAAGTTGTATTTAAGGGTTGAACACATTAAACAGAATCTCACAATTTATGAGAAACGTTCACCGAAATTCCCCAACCAGTCACTTCAAAAAGAAAGAAAACCGTGGTATAGAACTAAATAGTCAGCTAGAAAGCCTTTATAAATTATGACCACACCATAACATGAGTTGATTGTCGATTCCTACTTCTAGGCTCGGTGGAACTGTGCTTCATGTGGTAGAAAGTTATGCATCAAGAAATAACGTCAACCAAATACTCCTTAACAATGGATTGTTCTCAAGTCAGTCAGTTAGCTACAATATAGGACCAGGCATATATGTGCATCGGTCCAAGCAACAGCGTTCTGACGTTAAAATGTTTCCTAAATAACTAATATATGTATGTTATTTTGTATACAACTCACATGATTAACAAATTCAACGAAAGATGGTAGTTTAACGCGCCCATAGACGATGTCATGAATAATATTAGGGTCAAGAAACTGTTCGAAAGCCACGCATGCTTCAGCTCTTACACGAGGATCCCTGAAATAAAAATAAAAAATAAAAACAAAGAGTTTCTTTAGGAATAGTAAAGGAATTTATATTCACCCCTGTAAGTGTTTGAAAACAATTTATTCGAGCAGAGATTTCAAGTATTCTATTGAAGAAATTTACTGTTAATATAAAGATCGAAAACATATTTTAAGGATAAGAACACAAGATACTTTTTAAATACTAATGAAAAACTGCTATATATAGATCTATCCTCCGTAAAAAAGTCCTTGTTTCTTGAGTCAGAGAACTAACCAAAAAAATTTAAAGCCTATTTAAATCAGATAGTAAGCGACCAAAGTGGAACTCAGCGTTTCAGGACATTGGTCATAGATGTAAACTATCTACTTTATAATTATTTACATCCTGATCTCCAGACAGAACAACCTTACTGAATAATACATAACTTTGTTGAAACAATCAGCAAGAACCATTTAATCACTTTTTATCTTATGATTTTATTTTAGTTAAAATTGTATATACAGTGATATCTTTCTTAAAAAGTTCTTTGCAGTCAAAGGTCAGGATTGTATTTTGCTATTCCATGGCTCAGTGAGATAAGGTTATAGTGACAGAAATCATGCATGATTATTGCGAATTCTTTTCGATTGTCGAACTATAGCCTATTCCGTCATATAAAGGTTGCTAAAGTTTATCAGATATAATGCTCGAGATAATTCCTCGCTTAACAGGCAAAAGTCCAATTAAGCCTGGCTCAAAGGAGGCCTTGTGGTTATAGTAAAAAGGCCCACGATACAAGTTGCAGAAAAAGAGCAGCTTAATGAGGAGAAAGACAACTAACGAAAATATTAATTTAAAACAACCTATTAACTTAATGCCCTTAAATTAAAAAAGGTTATATAAAATCAAACAGCTGAATAAAACTGGACGGATATAATCAAATGAACCATAAAAATTCAAAAGAAAGCAACGTACTTGTCGCCCAATGCCTGCAGTATAAGATACCTCGTAGGGATGTGATCAGATGGATATATTAGACCGGCAAAGCTGACTGCAACTAAACGACTCAGGGGGTCGGGCTAAAAGAGAGTAACCAATTATTTTGTTCAAAATTAGTTCTATATTAGTTATAGGAAATAGAAAACTAGCGGTCAAATAGAAAATAATTTGATTTAACCTCACATAAAAGGGATGTGGGTTTTTGACATTTTATACAATATTCCAGTTATATATGCATGTGTATCTTGCTTAACAATATCTAGAGCTAACTTTTTATTTGCCACTTTTTAAGGAAGATAATTCTGTTTTAGTTACGGAAGGGACTTAATGGTCAAAGGTTCGATAGTGGTGATCGTCATCTGAAGCTTTGTGTAGGTTATAATCTGTTTATGACCAGGACCAACTTTTCATACAGTCGTGGCCACTATTCTACCTGTCCTCCTATATTGGCAAGTCCAGTCTAAACTGAAAGTAGTGACATTGTGATCAGCTACCGAATGCCGGCATGTGTGCAAGACTACCATTTTTTAAGTACTTGTCAGGATCTCGATTACGATCGGTTATCCCTACAATTTCATTGCTATGACGCATGTTTAGTACCCTATGTGGTCAGACTTCATAAATAAACTGCCCACATGCAAATATGGAAAATTCCTTCAAGGTGAACAGAGAATTTTTCACACTATTGGAAATACGCCGATATCAAAAGAATGTTCACAACTATTTGAATTAAGTATGGTTTCAAAAAATATGCATTATAAATTTTCGAAAATATATCGGGAATTGAAAAATACCTTCTCAATATTTTCATAGAGAAGACGTTCCAACTTAACTAAGTGTCCTCGAATAGAAAGACAATTTTGTTTTTGTGCACTGTGTAAAGAGACTGCTAGCCTTCTCAAACAATGAGCTGCAGCAAGTTTCAGTTCATTAGGATTCTCCTGAAATAAAATTATGAGAACATTTCAATAAGCAAACTTGCAAATAAAAGACTTAGTTTATCGAACTCTTAGGAAACGAACTAGAAGGTTATTGAAACATTTGAATGCCATGACATGGACGGGTAAGGGAAGAGATTACACTCACTTTCAACTGAAAGTTAGGTCCTGTTCTAGCAGATATTTTCGTGTCTAATCTCGAAAGAACCAAGCTCAAAGGAGCGATTGATGAAATGATGTATTATTCGAGGTATGTTGATGATACCTTCATCGTATGTAATAATCAAAAACATGAAACAAATCTGCTAAAACTTTCAACCAAGCCCACCAAATATCCAGTTTACTAAGGAACATGAAAATGAAAACAAGTTCCATTTTCTCGATATCACAATAAAACGAAAGAAGGATGGCACAGATCAACGTTCAGGTTATAAGAAACACACATAGAATGGGATTTATCCAAATTTCAATAGCTTTTGTCCAATCACTTACAAAAATGCAGTTGAAACACTGTTTCACAGAACAGAAATAATATGTAATGCCGATACTCTAGATGTGGAAGCAATGAATGTTAACATATGTTAAACGCATATCCACTGAAATTTATTGAGAAATGGAAAACGTGAAGATAAAAGACTCAAAGAAACTGCAGTAAATAAAAAAACAACTTTATTAAACTTAAATCTAAAGGTGATGATGTCACAGTATCAATCAATATAACTAAAAACTGCATTGACAAGAACTTATACTACAGCTAAACTTATTGTCCTGTCCAAAACAACATAATCTTTAGCACAATCAAAAGTCGATAGGTATCCCTTTCATGTTATCACCTACCGTGTATACAAATTTACATGTATCTACCAAAGCAGTTACATTCATAGAACAGAAAGGAGAGCCTACATTTGATTTTAAGAACATACTTCGAAAAGTTATAGGTCAAGTGGATTAAAAGCATTTAGCAGTGCCATCTCAAGACATCTCCTTAACACAGGACATCAAGTTGATACACTGAAGTCTTTCAAGGTGATTAACAAACTCCAATCTTTTGACATTTGCAGATACGATAGCGATCAAACGTCTAAAACCAGATTTATGTATCCAAAAAAGGCAGTAATAAATGTTTTTTTGCCCTGGTAACATTATACCCCTTTTTTAGTAATTACGTCATTTATTAGTTCGACTCTTCCTGAAGTTTGATTACATCATGATCATTTTTCTACAACTTTTAACTGACTGATTTCAATTCATATATTTCTTAATTAGCATTAAGCTGTTTTCAGTTGCTTCATTACACAATCATCGATGAGTTCTAATCACGATTTAAAGGTTCTGAAACTTTCCCTCTCAAACTTCTGAAACAAAATTATTATGACATTAAGTCTATGGGAATCTTCGCTACATCATGATACATATATTCATCTCTAATCATCATCGTATTTACAAGTATGTCAATATCTGTAATAACGTTGATTTTAAATATTATCAGTTGTAAGCAGCTGACGAAAACCTAACGACATAAAATGAACTCATATTATTCTGCACTAATCTTTGTTCTTGCTCTTCGAAATATTCTGACTTATTTAGTTCTTATTCTATCCCGCCCTTCTCTTTACAATATGATCCACTTCATTTGTAAGGTATTTTCGGTCCCTTACTGTACTATCACTTATATGTCTAAATAACTAGATCAATGAAAATAGGGGGAAGGATAAATGTTAAGAAGATTCGTTCGATGAAGACTCACCTCAGATAAGACGTCAAACAATCGAGGTAGCTGACCAGGGTCTTTAAGTAAATAGTTTGGGTCACGAGCCAGGAAGCGAGAAAGTATTTCGAATGCCCTTGCCCGTACATATGTTAACTGGAGTAAAAAAACAGTATGGTCAAACATGAAATTATCAATTTAAAATTTATGAATCAAATAAAACAAAAACGGAAAAGATACTTACCTCATCGCTCGTACGTTCATAAGCAAAGTTGATAAGGCATCGAAGAGCGGCGACAGATGCTGATCCATTTAGAGCCGTGACACTATCGAAAAAAAAAGTGGTTTTCATACTGATTTGATTCAATTTGAAATAACATTCCTATTGTGAATAGCACTATTATTAATATACACATCGGATATGCAAACGACGATTATAATGTAACGCATACTTTTGGGAAATGTAGATACTAATATTGAAAAATCCTAACCATCGTGCTGAACCCGTTTCTTAGTATCGCATTTGAGTCTCCTCAGTCAGTCAGTCAGTTACAACGTAGAACTTCGTACGTACGTACATCAGTTCGAGTTGCCACACCACATTAGCACAGAGATGCAGTTGTCGATTCAAATCCCGTAGTGGTAGAGGTAATAAGAGTATAAGCAGTAATCGGAAAGATTAGTGTTTGGAGATGTTACTTAAAGAGTAGAATACAGTGAAATGAAATTGGGAAGAGAAAAAAAGAGACAAGGGAGGGTCAGGAGATTAGAATTCGGGAGAACACGAAGAGTGGATGCACCTGCGCCATTGCAAACAATATTGAGCCATGTCATTCAAGGTCTCTAACCATCGGTTGCCCCCAAATGCCCTGCTATGGCCGAGAGTGGGGTGGGTTTGCCCTTCCTCTCGAAATACTCTCACATGGCCACGAGTATACAGCATCTGTCATGGAAGTCATACTCACGGCCTTCTCGTGGCGAGGGTGTTGTTTACTAAAATGAGAGGAGAAAAAGCGAATGTCCGGAGCTTTAACCGGATCCCAAACCAAATCAATGGTGCACATGGGATCCAGTATCCTGCGGGAACAAATGGCGCATGAACCAATTTTCGGTCACCGAGTACCATGGGACTGCATCACCTCACGATGCTCCACTACCTTGTGGGTTAAACCTTTGGGTCAAAGGCTCGGGGTGTGGCCCCTTAAGATAACCTCCTCCTTCGGTTTTGGCACCCGGGAAGTATCACAGCTCACACACAAATGATGAGCTGCCTATAATTATCGAAACTACTTTTCTTGCTTCAACTAACAATCAAATGATTCAAATTATTATTATTATTATTATTATTATTATTATTATTATTATTATTATTATTATTATTATTTACTACATCATTATTCACCCTCTTTTATTCCTACTCTGTCTATACTTATTTTTTCGACTTATACAGCAGCTCGTCTATGGTAAAAATTCGACTCTATCTAAAATTGTATGTTACCATAGAATATGAGTACTGAAGCAGTTTTTCTGAAACCTCATGCACCATTCAAACTGGCTGCCTTCAACGTTCGCACACTTATGCAGGTCGGACAACAGATAGGGTTGGCTATGTCTTTAGAAAGTCTTAATATCGATGTTTGCTGTCTATCCGAGACCCGTATTCAAGACTCTGGTGAAGTACTACAAATTCGCTCTTCATCTGTCTCTTCGAAAAGCTCGCTTTACGTGCGCTTATCTGGGGACCCCGTGGCATCTTCGTCTGGTCTTGCTGGCGTTCGTTTCGCACTAAGCGCTAGAGTTGAGGCAGCACTAATCGGTTGGATCCCCATTAACAGTCGGTTATGTGCTGTTAGATTAGAAAGTTCCATCAAACTGAGAAGAAATCAGTGTCAGAAACGTTGTCTTTTCGTCATCTCCGCCCCGACAAATTGCAGCCCGGATGCAATAAAGGATGAATTCTACTACCAGTTATCCGTTCTTCTCCAAAACGTGCGTTCGACAGATATTGTAGTACTAGCCGGAGACTTAAATGCTCAAGTCGAGCGTCTAGGCAAAGAAGAGAGTCGTTTAGGTGGCCAATGGGAACTTGTTTGTCGCAGGACAGATAACGGGGACCGCCGACTGCAACTGTGCACAGACCACAACCTGTTTCTGGCTAGCACTAACTTTCGGCACAGTCATCGCCGATGTGCCAACTGGACTCAGATTGATCACACCGCGACCAGCTACCGCTGGCGTGGTTGTGTACAAGACTGCTGCTCCTTTTGGAGTACCTATCTGGACTCTGACCATGCATTGGTCAGCGCCAATCTTGCCTTACTTTTCAATGGACAACGAAGTGACCGCCACCAACGGATTGATGTCAGCAAGTTGGTTGCAACTCCTGTTGCAAGTAAGTATCGAACCGAGCTAGCTTCTAGGCTAGCTACCATTCCACCGAAAAGTATAGATGAGCATTGGTTGCTATTGCTTGACGCCATGAAAATGGCGTAACAGGGTGTGGGTTCGAATCCCACCTCCGCCACATTCAACTCCGCCTGGAGTCCCTCCGGGTCCCAAGCCCGGATAAAGGAGGAGGGTTGGGCATGGGGTTAGCGTCCCCATCCCGTAGAAAACTAACTCGCTAAAAAAACACTAACCAGGAAAAATTATTCAAACCTTTTAACCTCTGCCCTGGGAGTCAGAAGGTCTTCATTTAGAAGAACTATGACGCCTCATGATGAAAGCCGAATTCCTTCGGAAGTTACGAGGCCGATGTCCCTTCTGACAACCAGAGCGACCATTTATTTAGGTACATGGAATGTTCGTACAATGTGGGACACCGGGAGAGCCTTCCAAATTGCTGCAGAAATGAGAAGATACAACCTAGAGGTACTTGGGATCAGTGGAACACATTGGACGCAAGTTGGACAACAACGACTAACTTTAGGAGAGCTTCTGTTATACTCCGGCCATGAAGAAGAAAATGCCCCACATACACAAGGAGTTGCATTGATGCTGTCCAAACAAGCGCAAAATGCGCTTATAGGATGGGAATCTCATGGACCAAGGATCATCAGAGCCTCGTTCAAAACAAAAAAAGAGGGCATTACAATGAATATTATCCAATGCTATGCGCCTACCAACGATTACAATGAAGACGCTAAAGATCAATTCTACAATAGGCCACAGTCAATCGTCGAGAAGTGCCAAACAAAGGACCTGACCATTCTGATGGGAGATTTCAACGCCAAGGTTGGAAAGGACAACACTGGATATGAAGACATCATGGGACGACATGGACTGGGAGAAAGAAACGAAAAAGGTGAGAGATTTGCAAACCTATGTGCCTTCAATAAACTGGTCATAGGCGGCACCATATTCCCACATAAACGCATTCACAAAACCACATGGACTTCACCGGATCACACCACAAAAAACCAAATCGACCATATATGCATCAACAAAAAGTTCAGGAGGATGATGGAAGATGTGAGAACCAAGAGAAGACCTGATAGAGCAACATATCATCACTTGCTGGTCGCCAAGATGAAATTGAAACTCAAGAAGCACTGGACAATGGGGCGGGAAATATCACGAAAGTTCAATACGGCCTTTCTTCAGGATACTAACAAACTCAACAAATTCAAGATAGTCCTCAGCAACAAGTTCCAGGGCTTTCATGATCTATTCAATGGAGAAGGAACTACTCTGGAGAGCGACTGGAAAGGGATAGAGGAGGCAATTACTTCAACATATCATGAGGTTCTGGGCCCCATGAAGCACCACCACAAGCAATAGATCGCTGTTGATACACTGGATAAGATTCAAGAAAGAAGGAACAAGAAGGCAGCAATCAATACCAGTCGAACAAGAGCAGAAAAAGCCAAGGCAAAAGCTGAATACACAGAAGTAAACAAACAAGTGAAGAGGAGCATCAGAACCGACAAACGTAAATATGTGGAAGATTTATCAACAACGGCGGAAAAGGCTTCAAGAGAAGGAAACATGAGACAACTGTATGACACGACAAAGAAACTCTCTAAAAATCGCCTCAAACCAGAACGACCAGTGAAAAGCAAGGAGGGCGAGGTAATCACCAACATTGAAGAGCAACAAAACAGGTGGGTAGAACACTTCAAAGAACTCTTGAATCGACCAGCTACACTGAACCCACCCAACATCGAAGCAGCACCCACGGACCTCCCAATCAACGTTGGCCCACCAACAATTGAAGAAATCAGCATGGCCATCAGACAAATCAAGAGTGGCAAAGCAGCAGGACCAGACAACATTCCAGCAGAGGCACTAAAAGCAGACGTAGCGGCAACTGCAAGGATACTCCACATTCTCTTCAATAAGATTTGGGATGAGGAATAAGTGCCAAAAGACTGGAAAGAAGGACTCCTGATCAAAATACCGAAGAAAGGCGATCTCAGAAAGTGTGATAACTACAGGGGCATCACTCTTCTCTCAATACCGGGAAAAGTCTTCAACAGAGAATTGTTAAACAGGATGAAGGACTGCGTAGACAAATGCAGGAGAAGACGAACAGTGTAGCAGCAGCCTCATCAGCAGTAGGTCTCAATATACACAAAGGGAAGAGCAAGGTTCTCCGATACAACACAGCATGCACCAATCCAATCACAATTGACGGAAAAGATTTGGAAGATGTAAAAACCTTTACATATTTGGGCAGCATCATTGATGAACATGGTGGATCTGATGCAGATGTGAAGGTGCAGATCGGCAAAGCAAGAGCAGCATATTTACAACTGAGGAACATCTGGAACTCAAAGCAACTGTCAACCAACACCAAGGTCAGGATTTTCAATACAAATGTCAAGAAAGTTCTACTGTACGGGGCGGAAACCTGGAGAACTACGAAAGCCATCATCCAGAAAATACAGGTGTTTATTAACAGTTGTCTACGCAAAATACTTCAGATCCATTGGCCGGACACTATTAGCAACAACGTACTGTGGGAGAGAACAAACCAGATCCCAGCGGAGGAAGAAATCAGAAAGAAGCGCTGGAAGTGGATAGGACACACATTGAGGAAAGCACCCAACTGCGTCACAAGACAAGCCCACACATGGAATCCTCAAGGCCAAAGGAAAAGAGTAAGACCAAAGAACACATTACGCCGAGAAATGGAAATAGACATGAAAAAGATGAACAAGAATTGGATGGAATTAGAAAAGGAGGCCCAGGACAGAGTGGGTTGGAGAATGCTGGTCGGCGGCCTATGCTCCATTGGGAGTAACAGGTGTAAGTAAGTAAGTAATGAAAATGGCGGGTACAGTCAGTTGTGGGTTCGCGAAACGTCCCGCTTATAAGCACTGGG